CTGTTTTTTGTTTTTTTGGTTTTTTGTTTTTTGGTTTTTCAACAGGTTTTGGACACTGCACTCAGGAAAACCAAAAAGAAAACCTTTGGACCCAAGACCGTCTGCAAGCCATGAGTTTGTTTTTTTTGGTTTGTTTTTTTAGTTTTGCAATTTCAGAAAATTCCTATGCCCATCCTGTCTGGCTCATGGTCATCCTTTTATCGTTCAATTTGCTTCTGTGCTATCTTTCGAGCCCTTCAACACTCTATGGCCATGGAGGTGGAGGGCGATAATATGTCCCTGAGCGATGCCATCGCAGCGACCCAGCACCTCACGCTGCGAGAACTTCCAGCTCATGTTCATGTTGGCCCTCTACCGGTCGGTTCGGTCACTCCGATCTGTCTACCTTTGAAGGAGTTTCTTGTCTGTCTTCAAGTGTCATCGAAAGTCGACAGGCCATACCCCATCACATGTGATATTTATGCATGATTCTTTCTTATGCTTCTCAGGCTTTCGGACTCTACTCCTTCAATCAAGCACTTCGTTGATTTGATCTATGATGTCGAGCCCTCCTCGATCGACATGGACAATCTGAAAGCCATCATCAGAGACAAGGCTTGGCAAGAGCTTCCTGAAGCACTTACCTTGAAGGAACGCCCCACGTTCTCTTGCTTGTCCCAATTTTGTTTGCTTCCACAAACCAATGGGAAACTATGTGTCCTCAAGCATTACTACGTCAAGAGTGACAAAGTCAAGGGCGCATATGTTGCCAAGCTCGTGCGTGGTCAAGGCAAGGAGATTGCTTGGGCCTCCCTCAACAAACAGCAAGCTCGCCGTGGCTTCCAGTGGATGTTGGAGTGCCTGGGTGGGCATCAGTTTCGTCACTTCTCTCTTTCCGCTGAGAAGGTCCGATCCAACAAAGCACGTGCCCCTCAAGGAGAAGTCATCATCAGCAACGGTGAGAGAGACAAGGAGAACTTGAAGCAGATGCGCTGGATCCATCGCCACATCCAAAAAGAAGGTTCTCCGATCCATGGTTGGAACGAGAAGTTGGTTCAGAGAGCTCTTGATTGTCTTGCTAATGACGGATGTCTGGCCAAATTGTCTGACAGATATGATTTGACCATCCAAGCCATTCAGCCAGAAATCTTGACCATCTTGGAAGATCTCTTGCCTCATCTTCGTGGACATTCCCTGTGGCTGCTCGGAGAGTCCGGTGTCGGCAAAACCCCTCTCGCTCGAATTCTTTCCATGATGTTTTCGCGATATCATGGAGGAAATGGTCAGTTCAGGTCAGCCCCGGAGTTTGATTTCTTTCGTGGCATCTTCTTCGACAAGGCCACGCCTGCAATTTTTGACGATGGTGAAATCGGTAATGAGACCATCAAAAAGAAAAAGGCGTTCTCAGATGTGGGAGATTCTGAGACCATCCTGAAAGAAAGGCCGGGCTCTGCAATGTCACATCACATGTGCAATCCACATATTGTGTTTTCCCTTGACATGCATGTCTGTGAATGTAAATCATTAATTTTCTTGGGCAGGTGGACGGCAGCGAAGTTCGTGATGCATCAGCTTCGCATCGTCGTAGACAACCAGTACAACCCAGAGGGTCAAGAAGGCGATGTTGATGGTGTTTTCAGCAGAAGTCTCCCATGAGTCTTTCATGAAGCTGGTCCGTCCAGCCGTGGGCTACATCGCCAATGCCGATGCTATGGCATTTCTGAAAAGGGCTGCCTTCATCGTGTTTGCTGAGAAGTACATCTATTTCCGACCACCCACTGAGAAGCATGTCAAGGTGCAGCGTGTTTTTTGGACCAACTCAGATTCAAAGGACATTCTTCTTCCAGATTGCAAGCCAACCCTGAAGAATTGGAAAAATGGTGGGCCTCAGCCGGATACTTATTCCGCATCTGCGGCATGGGAGACTGAATGGTTGAAAGAGCTATTCCGTCGACATGATCATCCTGTACGTCCTGCTTCGCCAGCTTGTCCTGCTACTCCTTTGACTTCCACGCCTGGTTTGGATGCGTTGCTTCGGGCTGATGGGGCTTTGCCTGCTGCACCTGCTTCTTCAAGGCCGGCATCGAGTTCATTGTCAATTCCTCACCCTGCCCCTGCTCTTTTGGTTGGCGTACCCAAGTTGGAGCCAGCCGAGCATCCGGATGCGCATGCATGGTTGGCCACAGCGACACGTGGAGATCCTGTGGATGTAGACACAGATCGTGCAAGTGCAGGTTGGACCGTTAAGGAAGAGCCTTCCTTGAAGTTCCAGAGCCTTGCCTTTACCTCTAGTGAGCCCATTGTCTTGGACACACCTTCCCCGCCACCACACAAGAGACAGAGAAGGACAGAAGACATTCCCAATCCGGACACTTTGCCTGGACTTCTTCCTCCCTCTGATGACGAAGATCCGATGCCTCGCGTTGGTGCTGCTCCTGACTTAGAATATGGAGGTCCTGGCTGCCAGAATGGCTTCAAAGATGTGTGCTCGATCATGGCCATGCAAAATATTGGTCTTCCGGTGGTTTGCGATCAAGATGGCCCATTCTCAGTTTCCTACGGCAATAGTCGGCTACTTCCGTTTGGCGTCCAACTGTGTCAGAAGCATTGTCGAAAGTCTTTGCCGGATGGCAGCTACATCGTGCATGACAAGGACATGAAGCACTTCTTTGCCTTGCAGCATCGAGAAGGTTTGCTCCTCAAGAAGGATGGTGAGGTCACCTCAGTGGTGTCTGCTGGTGTGGCAATGGACATGTTGTCATCTGACCAGTACACCTTCTACTACTTGCGAAGGCAATCCTACTCAGCATTAGTGACCTTGGATGCTGTGGGAGGTTCTAGTCCGCAGACTTTCACATGTCCTCTGAGCAAGTGTGTCTGTGAAGGTTGTTCTGGTTCCCTCATCTACCATTTGTCCGTCGATGCCGTGCTGTACGATTTAGATGGTCCTCGAAAAATCGTCCACGTGCAGAAGAACTGTACTTCCCGTTCTTGCCGGGCTTCTTATGGCTACAACTATCGCTGGGAAGCAGGCAAGAAGGTGAACGTCCTTGGCATGAAGGATTTTCAGGACAACATTCTGTTTGTGAACTCGAAGAAGGCCTTTTCATCCAGTATCATGAAGAACTTCTGTTCCGTGGTCATCTCTCAAGTGCTGCTGTGTCCTGCGCTTACCACGTTGTCCACGGAGATTCCCAAGAGTCAATCCTTCAGAACTTTGACAAGCTGCATGCGTCCGCGTTGTTCTACTACATGGCTGTGAGGGAGTTCGAGTTGTTGGGCCTGCATCAGGAGATCATGATCGAAAAGGAGATCCAAGATACCCATCTTGACCTCTACGATTCCTTTTGCCACTCATCTACCTTTCCTCCACACAAGCGTCAGCAGGTGAAGACCTTAGTCCTTGATGGAAACCAGAAGCTGAAGATGCAGTGTGATATGGCGCCAATGAAGCGCGCAGGCCGTCCTAGGAAGTCTGAGCACACCACCGGGCACTACACCAATGGCTGGATGCTTGCGTGTGATCCGAAGTCCGGTCGCATCATCAGCTTGCAGGTCATGCATGAGCCTGAAGGCAACGAGGTCGCAACTCTGGCTGTGGAGAACGTCATCTGGTTGGGAACTGGATTGCCTTGTCTACGACAGAGCATGCGCTTTCAAGTCATGTGGGGAGTCGAATGAGGCCTTGAATCAGATCGGCTACTATGTCGTGGATGGTTTTCATTCTCATGGTCATTCGCGAACCTGCCCTTGCAATCCTCGTGTCCTGTCTGTTTGTTTCAACACCAAGTCAATCAATATGGATTCTGTTCTATCGAGACGACCACAATCATTTTTGCGAGTTTATTGAGGCACATGTTGTTGCATTAGTCCTTATGAATGTGTTGTTTTGTATAGTTTCGTATTTACTTTAAATCAAGCCTACCTAGGCTACCGCAAGAAGCTGGAGAAGCGCACTCACAAAGAGAACACTTCGATCTGCGAACAGGTCTTCTCGTGGTTCCGCAACTTTTCCCCTATCATCAATGAGATGCGAGCCCACCGGCACAAATTCTTCTTGTTGCTTCTGTCCAAGCGTCACAACGAGTCCATTGAGGGTGGCAACATTCGGTATTTGCATCCAACTCGCCTGCCAAACCTCTTCAAGAATGCGAAGTCTGTCTCATACCTATGTGGCAAGAAGTCCAACACGAAGAATGCAATTGGCAAACCCTCGTCTGGCAACAAGATGGTCATGAAGGGCAAGTCCATGAAGAGAAAGTCCATGAAGTACAAGAAGTGAAGAAAGCTGAGGGACCATCTGTAGATCTAATCTCATGGGACAAGTTCTGTAGAATATAAATATTTTTGCTATGTAAATCCTTCTATTTGGTGGGTTGCTCTTAATTAAACACACTAGTGCATATCAGTAAGATTGCTATAGAATCTCTATTGAAATATTGTTGTTTGTTGGAAGTCCACATGAGAAGTTTTGGCTTTGGTATGAGGTGAAAACTTTAGACAGCAAGATTTGGCAGCTTGAAATGCTTAAAGTGCACGCTCACAGTGACGAGCTCTCTTTTTTTAACTATTCTATACTTTTTAAGTTAATTTGCTTAACTATTTCATTCTTTTGTTATGTTAATGTTTATAGTAACATCATTAAAGTTATGAGAAAATTGTATTTTCATGTATTTTCAAAGCTTTTGAGAGAAACATTTCTGTTGAGAGGTAAAGGAAATGGTTTAGTCAAACTGTTTTCAAGAGAGAGACATTTCTGATGAGAGACAGAGAGTGTTCTTGTTTGGTTCAGAAACACGCTTGCACAAAGCCTTTTGCACATGCCTTTTGCAGCCTGAAAGAACCAAAGTGGCAACGACATGAGCACAGCACATGCAGGAATAAAGAGAGCCAATTCAGCAACAGTTTCATTTTCATGTGCACATATGTGCACACACATCATGGCACATGGGAAACCATGTATCATTGAGTCAGATGACTACAGGGAACAAATTTGCATAAACCCTGCTTCTGGGCCAGCCATGAGCAGGTTGCACCCTGATCCATTGGTGGCTGTGGGCGACATTCAGCAGGCAATCATTGACTTTTTGCAAGAGAAGGGCTGCAATGATTTGGGGCTTCTTCTGAAGGCACCCAGTGGGAAGATGACTTGGAAGAGTGCACCCCAGGAGGATTGGCTGGGTGGTTCTATAGCAGCACTGGTGAAAAGGCTTCTGAAGATAAGCCCTATTTGCGTTTTTTCATCAAAAAATTGAAGAAAGCCTTTTGCAAGGTCAACACAGAATGGAAGAGATGCAACTACAGCAAGCAACATGACAATGATTGGGTGGACCAGATGGATGAGCAAATACGCATTGCCTGCCATCAATATCGATGCTTGAAGAAGGACCCCTTGAGCCAGAAGAGATTCTTCAAGAAAGCTTCTGTCAGTGAAGCGGAACAGGTGCAAGATGTTTTGGGAAACATCAAATGGGCAAATGATGGAACCGAGCAAGAGCCAAATGAAGAGCAGTTGGCTTTGCAGAAAAGGGAGGGCATGTATGAGCTTTCCTTGGAGCAGAGCAAACCAACTATTTTCAAGAGACTTTTGAAAAGAAGAACTCATCGGAGTCTGAATGCAATGCACATCCTTCTTCTTCATCCAGCAAGAAGCTTCCTGTACCTGCAGCTGCCTTGTCACCTTCATCAAAGGCTGGCCTTGTACCAGCCTTGCTTGCAGATGAGCATGAGGAGTTGGCCCAGTGGCTGTTGGAGAGCATTACACCACCACCTAGGAAGAAGCCAGCAGCCAAGAAGGCAAAAGCAAAAAAAAGGGCAAACATCAAAAAGAAGGAAGCAGCTTCAGAGAAAGCTGCCACACTGAAGTGCAGCTTCAAGCATCGAAAGACCTCTTCAGCTTACAACAAGGCCAAAGCAGATGCCATCAAAGCAGGGTTGTCACCCAATTCAGTGAAAGAAAGAGCCAGATCAGCCCTGAGGCAAATGGCAGCTGACATCGACAGTGGGCTTGTGAAGGAAGAGTGAAAAAAGAAGCTCTCTTCATTGATTTTGCCTTGTAAATCTCTTGCACTTTTACTGTTGAGAATTTGGGAGTGAACTACAGTTTGTTTGTGAGAGAAACAGGTGTGTATTTTGTTGGTTGGTGTCTTGTGTAGGGTTTCTGTGTTCTTACTGGTGAGAGAAAGAGAGTGGGAGGGGTGAATGTTTGTGAATGTTTAGTGTGCATGTTCTGTGTTAAGCTTAATGTTTGTTTGTTGAATCTGTTTGTTGAATGTCCACAGAAGCTATGTTCAAGCAGCATATGAAAGCATGAAACATGTTCAAGCAGCATATGGCAGCATGAAACAAGCAGCAATAAATCACATCAAATGCCCAAAAGATTTCAGGCAAAGCAACAACAAATATGATGGGAACACACAAAGCAAGAGCACAACACAAGTTTGTCATCCAAAGTTTTCATCAGGACACACACACATTCTTCTTGACATCATGTGGTATCATCGTGAAAAAGATGGCCGCATTTATGTCAAAAATCTTCCTTATGGATGCAGTGTGAATTCTATCTATGAGTTCCTCAACAACCTCGGACTGCCAAGACCTGGCTTTGTGCATCCACTAAGAGGACAAAGACAGAAGGGACAAGAACATCAAAGTTGCTACGTCCACTTCAAGTATCACCGTCCCTCCCAATTGGTCTGCTGGATGATGCAAATCCAGGGACGAGTGTTCCCTCCATCCACCAAACCCTTGGAATGTGAAATCCTCTTGGATACATTTATTGGTCCATACGCAAAAGCTCCCACAGAGAGCGGCTCAAGCCTTGGTCGTGGAACACCTACACAGTCTCTTGTCACAATTTAGTTTTACTGTTGGGAGAGACGGATAGAGAAAGAAAGAAAGCAAAAAAAAGAGCCTGGAGAGAGACCTCTGCATTTCAAAACAAATCTGAGGCCACCCATGCAGCCTTGGACTCCTTTGGTGGCGAAAACTCCTGTATGGAGGCGAGTGAGGGACTGGGACAAACTTGCATTTTGTCAAACAATTTGTTTGACAAAAAAATGCAGGCAGGCAACAGCTTCTGCTGAAGGAGGACAAGAGCTCCTTGCCCTGCAATGCTACTGTACAAGGTGGGCTTCTGCAGCCGTCCTCAAATCTGCATGTGCATGGCCACTCATGGTAAAACTCACAGTACTAGATCGGAAAGCGGCTGTATGCATTATCGATATCGATCGATCAACATTACAGCCAACTTGCAAGATCTGTCCAGCGCGCTCGCAGAGCCCATACCAAGTGCATAGTGCACGCCTAGGATAAAGCACGCACCGAAAATGAGCCCATACCAAGTAGCGTCCTTCAGGCCCTAGTAGCGACGCCAGGAGCCCCTAGTAGCGTCCTTCAGCCCTAATAGCAATGCCAGGAGCCCCTAGTAGCGTCCTTCAGCCCTGATAGCAATGCCAGGAGCCCCTAGTAGCGTCCTTCAGCCCCTAGTAGCAATGCCAGGAGCCCCTAGTAGCAACCTTCAGCCCCTAGTAGCGATGACTGGAGCCCCTAGTAATGTCCTTCAGCCCCTAGTAGCGATGCCAGGAGCCCCTAGTAGCGTCCTTCAGCCCCTAGTAGCGATGCCAGGAGCCCCTAGCATGCATGCCTGGGATGAAGCATGACAAAATTCATGATCAGTGCGCTTAACACTTTACAGCCAAAATGCGACGCCAATGGCTCCAAACGACAATGGGGTGTCACGTGCAGTAGGCCATGCCCTGCGACTTGCACGAACCTCCTCAGCCAGCCATACCCCCAACATGCGCCCTCCAGTGCTATCGAAATTCTGCAACGTGGCAGCCTGAACTGCGCTCTCATGAAGCCATTGGAGAAGTATTCTGGAAATGAGTACTAGTCCCAGGAGTCCTTTGTGGAAATGGTACGTGTTCTTGGCGATCATGAGTACTAGTCCCAGGAGTTCTTCAGGCGTTCTTTGTGGAAATGGTACCTCGTGTTCTTGGCAATCATGAGTACTAGTCCCAGGAGTGCTTTGTGGAAATGGTCTGCGTGTACAGTCCAAAGTGGCTTTAATTTCGTTGACCCTCTGTCGGTGCAAGCCGGCCCGCGCCAATGCAAAAACCCTCCCTGAATTGATCCATGGAACCGACACCTCTTTGGAAGTGGTTCTGCTGAAGCCGAAGACACCCAGCCAGTCCAGCAAGAACATGAAGTTGGTGTCGCCCCTCAGCCCCTTTCCAGTGACGCCCTTCTTGTCCACATCAACGAAGCTGAAAGTGCATGGCATCTTAGCAGCAGAATTCTCGAATAGGTTCATTGGCCAGGTGACCCCTTTCGGAATACGCCCTCCCCCAAATTGGGAACAGCTGAAATTTGTTCAGCTCATGAAGTCCAGGTGGATTCCATCCCTTGACCAGGTGACCCCTTTTGGGAACAGCTGAAACAAATCGGAAGTCCAGGTGGATTCCATCCAGCTAGAAATTGGTGCAACCTGCCGGAAAACCAGATCCTCTTCCTAACCTGCCCCTAGTGAAGACCGGTGTCCCTTGCACACTGCGCAGGTGAGCCGGGCTTCCTCGCAGTGGTGGGTGGTGGGACAGCAGTGGTGGGACGTCCAAACAAGCCCAAGATCCCGCTTCAGCCCCTAGTAGCAATGCCAGGAGCCCCTAGTAATGTCCTTCAGCCCCTAGTAGCGATGCCAGGAGCCCCTAGTAGCGACCTTCAGCCCCTAGTAGCGATGACTGGAGCCCCTAGTAATGTCCTTCAGCCCCTAGTAGCGATGCCAGGAGCCCCTAGTAGCGTCCTTCAGCCCCTAGTAGCGATGCCAGGAGCCCCTAGCATGCATGCCTGCGACGTCCAAACAAGCCCAAGATCCCAAATAAGTTTGGGCCCAGTTGCACGATGTTTCTTCAAGTCACGCATCATTCGATAGTTCGGGATGTTGTTCTCTTTGCAAAGGCGCTCCACCCGAATCCATTTCCAGCCATCAGCAAGTCGATCTCTATAGAATTCTTGTGCATGTGTTGGGGGTATTGTGCCAGAAGGAACCCCAATAAAAAAGGGATCATGATTTCAAACACCAAATTTTTTGAATATTTTTGAAGTGCCATAAAGGCCAATGAAAAAGCTAGTTGTAGGAAATTGCCATTGTGGGACATGGTACTTCACATTTTGGATGAAGGAACAACCCCCCAAGAGTTCTGAGGACGTCTGAGGAGGAGGGCATCCTACGCACCACAGCTGCGGGAATTCCAGCTGTAAGTGCACTAGGGCCAACTTGGGGCCAGCCAACTAGCTTAAATTGTCTCATGATCATGATTGCGAACCGCTCGCACGAGCCGTAGCCTGCGAACATACATCGTCCAATCCAACGTCCCTACAAGTCAAAGACCTCATTTTACTGGGGATGGTCCCACAAAACCAAACATTTTAAAGGAGGCTTTACTGGGTCTTTGGACTTGTAGGGAACGTGTTGCACCCACGAATTGTCCCCAAATCCATGCCAAAGGCACCTTCTTCATCAGACGATACCTCCACTCTCTTCTCGTAGGCTCCTTCTTGCAGGGAAGTGCTGGCGATCCACCCCCAAAAGCCCTCAAAAACTGTAGCTTCGTCACCAGATACTAGCCGAGAGTCTCTTCCGAAGAGCACGTTTCATCCATGTGCGAGGCCAAAACGACAGGGCATCGAAGGGCGGGGATGTGGTGCTATGATGTCATTACATTCATGGAATCTAGCCATGTGATCAGTGATCTATCCATGTTTATCAATGGATCCTTCTATCCGTGCATGTCTTTCATATGTCGGACATGCATGATGCCGACCAGCTGCATTTTTGCAGCTTGAACATGCCCTGACCACCTGCAAAACGTATGAACACTCATGCAAATCCTGTGCTAGCATGTTAATGGAGTCGTGATTAGACAAAGTAAAGTACGTTCTTTCGAAAAGTAAAAGTAGGCCTTTAGTTAAGGACCAGTTTAACGAGTACTTTGGTTCATAGGGATATGTTGTTGATACATGTAAAAAAACTTGCATTTGTGAATTTGTTGGGTGGGCAGATCAACCGCTGCCGTGTCCAGTGTTGGCTCGTATTGGGTGATTCGGCAGGTGGTGGTTCGTCGCTCCCGAGGCAGGTCGAAGCAGGTTGAGTACAGCTGGTTGAGTGAAGCACGCGCGGGAGCCTTTTCTGGACCGCCAGTTCTTAAGGAACAGATAGACTGACGCACCTTCAACCTAACAGGAGACCAGACCGGACAAAAACCCACAGCCGTATAGTGGCTGCCTGGGATCCGTTGACATGGCATCCACCAGCTTTGATCTTCCGTGTTTGGCTCGATGTCAGCGGGGTGAGCGGTCTGCGGTTCCGCACCGGATGACCCGGGTCTGCGGTTCCAGGCTATGGGTTCGAACTGTTCGAACGGCACATGTGGACGGTAGCCAGGTTGATTCATCAAATCCGGCCCGGACATGGGCAGCTCACCACGAGACGACACCACCAGTGAGACCCAGTGAGACTGAGAAATCCGATCAGTTTGAAAAGGGGTCAATGTGGGCATCACATTCTAGATGCTAATATATTTGCTGCATGCGTCAAATGGGATGTATAATGCGTACATATGGATGGCTTTGGATGGCGAACGCACCTCAAGTTCGGATCTGGTCTTACTTTGCAAGAGAGCCAAAACCAGCCCTCTACTAGGGGACCCTCCACAATTAAGGATACTCTCCCACTCAGGACACATGGAAGTGGAAAACTCCCCGTGCGTGGAGCAAAATCCTCTTCCGGGCGCCATTGAAACATTGATGTATTTCAGGGGCCACATACTAGTACCGCTCCGGAAGATGGATTTAGCATAATTTAGCATCAACATCATAGCATGTATTTATAGATCGACATATAATGTATGATATCGATCTAGCCTGGTTGCAACATTGACTCCTTGTTCGAGCACGCACTCCCCAACGGACAAGGTCTGTTGGTCCACATGACCCAGTCGGGCTGTTGCTTCTTCGCGCCATGCGGACCGACCCGGCGGAGTCCACGCCGATGGCAGGTGGTCCACGCCTTGAGCGATGTTGGGGACGCCAAGGGGATGAGATCAGACACCTGGGGGCACTCAGCGCTCCAGAGCGGCACATCCGCGATGCACTGACATGCAACATGTGACATGCACTGACATGCGCGTAGCATGGATGGGAAGCAACCATACTGGCGAGCCATGGGAAGCTGGAGGACGAAGCCACCACAGGGGTTTTGGTTGGATCTCAGACACTCCCATGATTTCCCAATTTATGAAGTGATATTTAGTAACATTTCCCCGAGGCTCCAATGTACTCACCACGACGAGGTACATGTGCAAATTAAATGTAATCAATGATTTTGAACATTACCCTCTGAAGCATGTCGGTACTTAGTAGATTGGGGTGGTTGAAAAGGGGTGTGAAGGAACATCTGCCAGTCCCATCCACGGCTCAACACCCGCGCGCTTCAGACCCCCACCCGACCGACCGGTCAGACCGAGACCACCGCGGTCGACAGAAGAAGCGTCTCAAAAGGTATACCGTTGAACTATAGCAGGAACGGAAGTTGAGCTGATCCCCTGAAGCAGGGTCAGCTGTTTCAGCAGGGTCATGTGTTTTGTTCAGTGGTTTCTCACCTGTTTTTGTCCGGTACAAGTCCAGTAGACTACCATAGACTACCTCATGTACCCGGAAACAATCACAGATGTTGATGATGTTGATGATCTCAGTTTGGTCTGTTCGTTTTCAGAAACGCCTACCGTAAAAGAGGCAAGGTGCTGGTTTGTAGGCCCCAAAAGGCGTTTCTGGTTTGGGGGGGTTCTGGAAACCCCTACAGTCTCCAGTAATGTAGACTCTTGACTGATACACCCCCCATATGAAGAGGATGTTCAATTCAAACGGCTGGGGTTATTAATCAAGATTCTACATGAGTTAGACTGTCTTTGTTTTGTCATTCCTTTTCCGGTCGACTCAATCGACTCGTCTCGTCAAACGTGGCCCTGGGAGTCAGAGGCCCATTCAGAGGCCCACCATCCTGAAGAACGGTTTTGTTCTAGTTATATACTAAGGCGTTACTAAGGGTTTTACTCAGAACCAAGTTTGTCCCGTTACATTTGGTCTTTGAAGACTGGGGAAATGAATGGAAATGAAGACTGGGTCTGTCCGTTCTTACCTGTAACAGTCAGTAAACAATTCTATCATCATTTTTGAACAAGGCCTTTACAAACCATCATCATCCACTGTTACAGGAAATAGGATAGACCCAAGAAATGATCCTATGCAATGCATGGCCCTTCTTCTCCAGGCCTACCAAATCCAGTACGTCTTCCTGTCCACAAAAAGCTGCCTCTTCACGATTCTTGCACACATCGATCAGTCCTTCGTCCCTGCTTGCTGACTTACTGGCACACCTGACTTCGGCTGCGCGGCTGTCGGACGTGCGGCTCTGAAGCTAACTGCTCTGCTGCGGTCTTCAGCTCAGGTACCATTGTAAATATCTCTCTCGTGAACCCAACGAGGATGGCATCAAGGACACGACGCCCGGGGCCCCGAGACGCGATCGCGGCGAAGAAAACCACAGGGCCGGTTTGGAGCACCTGCAGGTCACTTGTTTGGGGGATTGGTGGTTTCCCACGGTTTCCCCACGTTTCAGATGAACAGCATGGAGTTCACTCAGTTTACCTTGTTCTTCCAAGGGAAAGGGCTTGGGAGTCTGTCTTGTCTTTCTGCTCGCTCAACATCAGGTGTGACAGGTGTGAATGTCGTTCTCCCGTCCGGGTGGGTCATCGGTTGTGGTTTTTGGAGGTGTGACAAGCTGTAAAAGCTCTCCTTATGGTGGAGCAGAAGTCTTTGAGATGTAAGATCCTTTTTTACCCGTTTGGGTTTTTGACTCTTGGGTCGTTTGGGCGTGTTTATGTGTGTTTTGTACCTGTCCTATAGGTGGTTAACAGTCGCCTGGGCTGGACTGTTCAGTCGTCTAGAAACACTGTGCCGGACTGCAGTGCAGTCTGTGCCCATGGGGAGCCCATGTGACTTCACGCCTGACATGTGTAACTGAACCTCCGGCTCCCGCTTGTATGATGTGTTGTATGTGTTTTTGTTTCCCAAGAGTCTAAGTACATCATAAAAAACACAACCGCAGATAGCTTCATATTGGTGGACTTGCTATGCTTCCGGACCACATCGATCAGTCCAATCCCCCCGAAGAAACCGATTGACATCCTTAGCTTGAAGGAATGGCATCACAAACAAAAAGACACACATCTTATATAGTTCTTAGTTCTTACCCTCTTCACCTGCCTTACTTCTGGCCCTGAAAACGAAGACCTTAAGCAAACAGATGTCATTTTTGTTGCGGCTCCCTTCGACCACTTCACCCTTCTCCCGGACTTCTCCAGGTCAGGTCGCCCACCAGCGACCCTTCGGGATCGCAATGGAACGACGAGGGTTTTTACCAAAAGGCGGTCGGTGGGTCATTGAAGTCCCGGTCCAAGTCCCATGAAGTTGGATTGTATTCCAGACACTCCACGGAACATATACCGTTATCAATTGTCTGTATATATGCCTATAGTACTGTACCAAAAGACCCCGAGTCTTTCTGGGAAGGACCGCCGACTCTGTCCAGGACAGCCTGGTGTTGAAAAACATGCTAAAAAGAGCATCCATATACATTTACCATATCATTTACCATCATGATCAGTTACCATACCATCATTTTTACTATCATCCATTTTACCATCATTTACCATCATGATCAGCTACCATCAGATTTATGATCATCTGCCTGGACCCTCCAAGGGGTGTCCAATGGACTACCCCACACTACCTATAGGCTTCCATTGGGCACCCCTTGGAGGGTCCTGGTGATCATTTATGACCCTAAAGGTTTGTAACTATTCCAGTCCCAGACAGGTCGGGACTGGGTCCTCCAACCTAAGCCGTCCATTCGTTCTGGCGTTGCCGAGGCCCAAGACCGGTGCGGGTGGCAAATCGGTGAAGCTGAAGACCAATTGCTTCAGGAGCCGGTTTTGACTCAAGTGCGAGTCGGAGGACCAAATGACCAAAAGAGATGTGAGATGTCGCAAAAAGCAGTGTGAAACAAGGCGGGTCATTCCAGCCAGCAGGTTGCAGAGTGTTTTTGAAGGTTTCTTTTGAGAGGAGAGACTTGGTCAATGCAAATCACGGCGTGAGAGTTGGGATGCGCCGGCAATTCCGAGGGCGATTCCGGGGGCGAGTTGGGATGGTGGTCGCGGTCGTGAGGTGTTCAAGGAAAGATGTTGAGGCTTCCTCTTTTTGCCCAGACGCGACCGATGGGACTGGAATGTTACCCGAAGAATCCTTGGGCTGTCCATGGCAGGGGTCGGACCCTCCATGGCAGGGGTCCGGGGCCTCAAAACCCTATCTATTTGAGGGCCCGGATTCTTAGGGTACTATAGGAGCCACCGGGCATCGAAACCGAACTGAGCTTTCTCGGAGCGCCAGATCGACCCATCTACGACACACCGCCGTGACGCGCGGTGGACCCGGAGCCGATCTCCAGCCCCAGACCGATGATGCGAACTGGAAGAGTTCACTGGAAGACCATCACACAGAGACGACGACTAATGGGACAGGCAGATTTACGTGCACATTGACCCCTTTTCAACCACCCAAATTGGTAAATATGCACTGTCCCATTAGTCGTGTTTGGGTACCTAAGCCCAGACGATCCCATCTCAGTCAACGGACGCGATCGGTGCATCGCGACGGACGCGACGAGGTGTTGGTCATTGTTTTTCCTCGGATTCACCGGAACCTGTCGGTTTCCCTCGGTTTTGTTCGTCTTACCTCTCGTCCTGAGAAAATACTTCGTCGGGTTCGGTTCCGGGTCATCCCACGGCGCGCGAGACGACTTCCTCCCTCCGCCGCCAGGATTGTCTTCGACACGGGCGAATTTCTCCACCGCTACGTCTATGAATTGCCGGGGCCTCGGCTTCGCCGATTTCGGCGGGCAGACGAAAGGTCCAGTACACGTTGGCCCGGATGGACGTGTTGGCCCCGACAGGGAGCCGATGACGGGCCAGGGGGGTTCATTTCAAGGTCCAGGTAATGACTTCGGCCAGTCCCATGGAGTGTCTGGTATTGTTTTGTTGTTATAGATGGGACTGGGCTATTTACCCATCAGTTGGGGTGCTTGACCTGAGGTCCATGTAGGCATTTCCTCTGGTTTTGGGACCAAGCATTGTGCTTGTTGAAGGCAAGGGTTCCGGTTTAGTTTCATCGCATCGTTTTTTGAAGAAGATCTTGAGGAGGACTGAGGACCCAAAGATTTCAACATTATCTTTTCGGGACGTCCCTAAGCTTGGTGCACAGTTTGCAATATGATTATTAAAGTATTTAAAGTGCACTGTCAGAATATATATCTACATCATATCTACATCATGATACACTAACAGAAAACACAAATCACAACACAACTAAAAACACCATCCAGCACGGGGTGCTATCCATGGAGGTAGTCGGGGTGCCCCTGTCACATCGACGGCCCCTGGATGGGACGAGGCACACCACCCCGTCTTGTGACTGCTGGATTAATGAACAACATCATCCTACCAGAACCCTCCTGTCGGGGTGCCCTGTTTGGAAGCCTATTGGTAGTGTGGGGTAGTTCATTGGACACCCCAGGGTCCTGGTACCTGCCAGGATCATGTCAAGACTTCACTTCGCCTGCCCAGCCGGCCGAGCAACTCGGTCGCCCAGCTGCAGTGATGCTCTGGGCGACTCTCGTCACCATCGGTTTGGCGTGAAGCCCTTTTGGCGCTCCTCGTCGCGCTCCGTGCCTCGTCCCGTCACCGGTTCGGGGTTCCGTCGAGGCCGGAGGGCGCGAGTCAAGAAAAGGAGATCATGTTCTTCGAGCAGGCGGGGTGTGTTTTACTCCTCACCGCGCGGCCGCCCCGCGGAACCGAGGCGCCGCAGAACGGCGCGTTTTTGGCCTTGCCCCTGGCCGCTTCTTCGCCCCCTTGGGTTTTTCATGGTTTTTCACGGGAAACCCCGCAGGGCATGAGACGCGCCGGGGCGGAGATTCGCTCCTGAAGGGTGTGCCCGGTGTTGCGGGTGAGAACCAGCTACGGAAGAAGAATGGGAGACGAAGGGAAAGGGATGGGCCGGTTGAGGTGTTGGTGTTCCTGTCAGGTCTGACCATCTGCGGTTTCGATGTAAGGTCTAAGGCTTTCAGCTCAAAATCTGTGTTTTTTGGTTGTGGGGTGTACATATTCCATACATGGAGTGTTTGGACTTTCTCTCACAGTCTCACAGAGCTTCAATCTTTCGGAGAGCAAGGGTTTGGTTGGTGGAGGCCAGCGGAGGCCCATGTATGTCACTTTTCCAGTTTGATGGGTGGGTTGGCCTCCACCTACTAGTGATGACCAAACCACCCATCAAACTACTACTATCCAGTAGGTTTGATGGTTGGAGGCCCATGTATGTCACATTTATTATGGCCTCCAACCTACTGGTGATGACCTCCAACCTACTAGCGATGGCCTCCAAGGAGTGATGGCCTCCAACCTAAGAGCGATGGCCTCCAATACCCTAATATAGATAGAAACGGTTTCCATTGGTTTCCATTAATCCTCATATTTACAGTAAGTACATTATTAGTGGGGATCTACTGTTCTATCTATTTGGGGGTCCAAATGTACATGTCCTACATTGGCGTGATTGAAAAGGGGTCAATCTGGACTTCTTTGGAGTCCCATTCTTCGGTGGTCCCACCTGCGTCTCGCCGCCAGTCGAAACGGGATTGTTTCGGGTGTCTCCCCTTTGGGCACACCCATTCCAGGGCCCGCTTTTTGGGAGGTTGTTGGACATGAACACAAAACCCTAAACAGGGGGTTTGGGAGGTTGTTTACAGGGGGTATAAGGTTTAGGGTATACATATGTTTTTGGAGGCTGTTGGACATGAACACCCTTAGAAGTAGACAGAACTGGTGTTCAGTGGTCAAAGGGCCCATCTACTCCTTGGGTCTTCGGCCTGGACGTGGTTGGAAAACGGCTTCGAGTTCCGATGACGGCCTTCCGAAGACCAAACGAGTGGTTTTTACTCCACTGAACCATGAGAACCATGACGTGGGGAGAAAAGCAATGGTGTAACCATTTTCCTCTACGATCAGCCGGTGAAGTCCACTGAAAATTGATTGTCTCATGCAGTGTAAATCTTCCGGTCCCCATCACCCGATGGATTGGTAGTGAAACCATATGTTGGCGCAGGCGTGGAGCGGCATCAAAGCGCAGTTGGAGCACTTCGTGATCCGCTGCCCGGGCTCCCAGCGCTGAGGAGCTGTGGAGCACTGTAGAGCTCCACAAAGCAAAATCGAGGTGCAGCTGAAGTAGACTCGTTGGATCATTTTGGTTGGTGTGTAAAAACTGAACATGTGTGTTTATTATAACTAATCACACAATTGTTACTCATGTTTACATGGAATCATTTGTGACTCTTGAGAGTAGTGAAAATTAAAATTGTCCTTTGCCTAAAAACTAGGGCCTGCATACTAGTTTCTACTGGCTTTTGTTGCTCCTTTCAAACAAATTTCACATACACATCGAAGGAGATCCAGCTAATGCATTACTCGTGATGATATCTCATCCCTCATATGAAGGGTTTTTACATCCAGATTCGGCCCAGTCAGCCGACTGGCAGGCAGAAGTGAACTCGCTGAACCGTTAAATCCACCGTCTCCAGGGCTGACTGGATGGGTGCCGGCGGAGCTCCGTCGTCGGAACTTTTGGGGGTTGGAGAGAGAGCACCGGCCGTCAATTCCGAGTCGACTGGCCTAGTTGGGCCGTGAGTAGAGGGATCATGATCAGGAAAAACCCTGAATGATCACACAAAGCAACGAACATCACAGCAACACTCACAAAGACCAAGTGTTCACTGGACTTCGGAGTTAGTGCTCAGCAATCAAATGAAGAGACTCATTGGCAAAGAAAGAGGTGTTGGGTGGCTATGGCATGTTATGGCATGTTATATACAGTCACTCGCGCCTTAGCTATAGAAAAGCGATAGGAATTTGTTGGAGGAACCTGAGCTGATCCGCGAGCAGCTCGTGGAACCCGCGAGTTGGATGCCAATGAAGAGTTACAATGTGTGAGTTGCAATGCATGCGATACTATCCACCATGACTTTGGGGAAGAACACCATGTCATACCGTGTCACATCTGTGCGAAGGAGCCAAGCTTGGCTGACCTCCACAGCCACTGACCTCAGATCCCATGGAAGGGGCGCTGCGACTTCGAGCCTGCATCGTAAAGCAATCAATTCATGTGCATGTGCATACCCCAGAGACTCCACAAAAAATAACTGACATCACATACATATATACATGCATGCATACATAGATAGATAGATAGATAAATAGACAGATACATTTATATAGATAGATAGATGGATGGATGGATAGATAGATAGATAGGTGTACGTACGCACGTACATACACACACCGATCTACAATTACCTACATACCTACAACTGCCTACATACATACCTACCGACGGACGGACGTACATTGGCGAAACAATTAGGGTCGTTGAAGAGGGCGCAGTGTATGCATATCTTCCAGTCCAGAGTCTTTGGACAACTGTCCACTTTGGAAGCTTGGAATACTGGGGATGATTCCAACGTTCCAAACCCGTCCCAGAGGACTGGCATATATAAAGCTTGGGTCAGTTCTTTGGGTCAATGCAGGTATACCGTCCCTTGGAGTGTTTGGGTGAGTGTATTCCCCCAGTCTCACCAAGGCGCTTCTTTTCACCCAAGTCCTCCTGCGATACACGCTTCGACGACAAAAAAGCAAAGCATGTTTATAACCGCAGAAGACCGCTAACAGACCGTGAAAACTCAACACACTTGTGATGGCGATTGGTGCATCCTGGGAGCTCTATGAACTACGTAAGAGAATTGGTGTTGGTTAATCACAATTCGCAGTGCACGATCTGTGTGTAAGTATCTCTGGTGCAATGATGAAGGCCAGGCGGCCAGGGTGCCTGCGCTCGGAAGTTGCCATTTGCAGCTCTGCGTTTATGAGAGCATCAGTACTTGGTCTTCAGCTTTCAACCCCCTCTTGTCCGAACGACTCGACCGTGCACACCCCCAAAGCTCATGGGATTCCGCGCAAGTCATTCCCTGCAGCTGCGGGAGCAAAATGCAGGGAGCTTGGCGATCGAACGGGCCATGTAGATTTGTCAAGCTATGTCAAGCTCCTGCAGCAGATCGAATGAAGTGGCTCTCTCCAGCCAAAGTCTAGGGTGTCTGGGTTCCTCATAAGTGCCATTCGTGGGGTCCCCTCACCTCCTGAACACGGTGCTTTTGTCACAGCGACGGTTTGATCATGCTTTGTCTAAAAGCCCTTTGAATGAAGAGCTCGATATTTGCTTGAAGGAGGTCTACGATGCACGCAATGACTGGGACGGCAGTGGACAGCTGGATTCATCGGTTGAACATGTTTAAGCAGCGCAAGAGCTTGGAATTCACGGCCACCAGGCCCCGGCTATATTTTCTCGCCAACGATGGTGGGGGATTTCACGGTGAAGCTGCCGTCAGGCTTGGGCGCTAAAAGGTCAGGTCTGGGCGAGTAGAAATGACCGCTTCCTTTTCCCAGACACTCCATGTATGGCATGTTTACATTAGGGTGGTTTCAGAGGTGCATGTAGGGAAATAGGTGGGGCTGGGGCACAATCGCAATGAAAACACACAGAATCTCAGAAGATGCGACAGTCGGAAGGGTGGTTGGTCGACCCAACGTTGGAACTCTCCATTTGGGCCAAGCAAACCCCCATGGTGGAGACTTTTTGGAGGTGTTTCCGGAGGAGGAGTTTCGTTTTTGGGATCGGTTGATGGTTTGGTTGCAGGTCATTGGATTTTGCTTGGGACCCAGCTGTTTTGGTGGGTGGTAGTTCATCAAATCGATTTCAGCTGTTTTGTGATGCAAACCATATGCAGGAATCCGCCACATGTAGACTAGTGACTAGTGTCCTGCTGGATAATTGACCAACAGTGACGTGCTCAAGTTACATGTTCAATACACCTGAAATCATGATTGTTCGAAGCATGCAAACCGATGACTCTGCAAATCTGCCATGAAAATCGATGGAACATCTCTGAGGATGGAATCAAACCGGCTGGCATCACTGGGAAACCACTCTGACTGGTTGACATCTTTCATTCGGAATTGGTTTCAGATACTGCAATGTTACATTTTTACAATGAGAATTCCATTCCCCAAACACGAGAAAGCCATGGCCGGTATGTCGGCATTGACCCCTTTTCAACAAACCACTTGTGAAGGGCAAAGAGGATGGAAAATCGCTCAGCCTCTCAGCAAAAGCAGAAGATGCCCCACACAACATGACATCTCGTGGCCTTCTTTTGGCGTCCTTTGCCTGGAACGATGTCCAACTGCTGAAGAAGCAGATGTTTGGGATGCAGTTTTGCACGAGAAGCAGACCATCATACAAACTTCTATGGACAAGAATTCCATCATACGAGCAAAATTTGTGTTGGAAACCCAGCTTGTTTGGACGAGCATTCATGGTTCTTTTGGAGACCTGGACATGGAGACTCAAAACCCAAACACTCCATGTATGGTATATTTACCTATATAACTACATTGGGTTGGTTTGAGGGGTCAATGTATAGGCATATATGACAGGCATGGAGTGTCTGGGAAAAGGCCTCCATGTCTTTTAGAGACCAAGAAAGTCGGGAAAAGACCTCTCCTCCATCTCGTCTCGTCTCGACCGTTTCTTCACGCTGGCCTACCTTGGGTCGACCGAGCTCCACCGAGCTCCACGACCCAGAGAACGACGGCTGTTCGGGACCGGTCGTTCTGCACGAAGGAGAAGAAATGAAGATCAAGTATGTGTCCAAACTACCCACCGAGCAGGCCAAACATGCAGGGATTGCAGCGACTTCCACGCGCGACTTCCGCTCGCTTCCGGTGTCATCCGCCACCGACGTCGGCGCGATGGCTCGGTCGACTCGGATGGATTCGGATGGGGTGCCAGATGTTGTAGCCCTCCAGCAGAGGTTGAAGAACCCTATATATAGACTATCCGATAGAAAGGTACACCTGTAGTGTCCAGCCTTTACGGTCACTGGCTACCTCTGTAGGCTGTAGCTCTTCCAGTCTGGTCATCACTTACCAAATGGTTCATCCAGGAATAGCTGCAGTCTTGTCCAGTCGTGGCTACCAGTCGGATGGGGCTGGCAGGTCCTGCGATGGACCGGGTTTGGGATCTTCTGGGCACCTCGATCTTCGATGTTCTCCCGGAAAAACTGTGGAGAAAAGGTGATGCTTGATCTTCCCGAACCGATGAAATCCCGAATGTGCCCCTCTCAATCGTCAAAACTTTACTGTCAGCGACGATGTCCTCCTCAAATTGCTGCGATGATGCCAGGAGAGCAGTGCAGAGAGCTAAGGCAAGTGCGAATTGTAGTTTGGCCAAAGCAACTGCCTACACTATGATAGGATAGCCACAGCTTTTTTGGCTATACCTTGTCTGATTTTTCAGTCAGAAGCCAGAAGCCGTTGACTTGTGGAGGAATCGAGAAAAATCGTATTTCTATTTCATAAAATAATTCCGAGGTTCACAAAGTACTGTGCCTGCCACGAAATCTGCACTTCGAGGTTCACAAAGTGCTGCGCCTGCTATCAAATTTGCACTTCCAAGTTCACCAAGTGCTGTGCCTGCCACGAAATCTGCACTTCGAGGTTCACCAAGTGCTGCGCCTGCCACGAAATTTGCACATCGAGGGTCACAGAGTGCTGTGCCTGCCACGAAATATGCAAATGAGCCATATCTCCAGAAGTCAAATCACTGCACCTGTTACGAAATCAGAGCTCGTCGAAGATCACCACCATGTCCTTGCAAAGTACGTTACCTGCCACAAAAACTGCATTTCGACTTTGGACCACGAAAACACGAGGTTTCCCTTGCACCTGCCACGAAGTGACCACCATGTGCGAAAATGCGCACGGCACCACAACGAGAGCGCAGTCGCTAGAAGCACCCGCCCCCGGCAGGCAGATTTGCACTGTAAAAATACCTTGAGTCTCCAAAGACCTTTTTGTTTTGTGTTTTTGCTCGAAAAATGCATTTTTAGAGATGAGGATTCAAAAAGAGGTGCAAAGTGAATCTTCATCCAGACGCGTCCGGCACGGACGCTTAAAGACTCTTGGACGCCGAAAAAAGGTCTCAGGACACTGTCTAAGGAGGATCTGACAGGGCACAAACAAAAAAGGAACATTTCGTGACATATGCAAAAAAGAGTGCTTTCTTTCAAAAACATCTTTTTCTTGGAAAGGCAAATTTACTTGGAAAGGCAAATTTAAAAGGGTCATTGGAGACTCAAGGTATAGAGATCAAATGGGTTCTATAGCTTCTAGGTACCACCCAAAATAGAGATCAAATGGGTTCTAAGTTCTAGGTAAAGCGATTCAAGTCTCCTATTGATGCTTTGAGATTGATCAGTCACTGCAACCTCCGCGCCAGTTAAACCTGGGGAAGCTGGGACCCTCCGCAGTCGTGGGGCAGCACGTTGCAGCTTGGCATTGGCCTAACCGGGTGGGCCAAAGACATCATGCTACCCATTCCAAACACCGCACCAGGTGGTCTTTGGGTGACTGGAGGAATCAATTCTGCCTGGTGAAGCTTGTGAGATGTTTGAGTCTTTTTGATTTTCTATTTTTTGATGTGCGTTTTCGTTTTTCCTGGTGCACCATGTAACAGCGCAGGTGTCTTGGAACGGTAGTGCTCCAGACCGGTGCAGTTGCGGTAGACCCTGCTGTTTTGGCGCGGAGTTGCTTCGAGTTTCGCGAGTCCTGGAACCACGATTGAACAACAAGTTCCTGGTGAGGTAGCAACAGAGTGATCTCCCTTTGTTTATCCCTAAGATGTCCACCCTCAATTTTATCCTGATACAGTCCATGGTCAGATCCAACAAGTAACCCTGATCAGAGTGCTCTTCGTGGCTACACCTGTCTCTCCCTTCGACTCGAAACAGTTGCTGGCGCCGTCCATGGGACTGGAATAGTTATCTACATGGGACTGGGTCATTTGGATGGAGTATTTCCATGTAGCTATTCAAGTCCCATGAGATGCTTTGGGTATGGTGCCGAGCACATTGCCCATCCTGAGGCCCAGCTTCAATGCTTTGCTCAGATTGAAAGTCCTTCCTGCTGGTTGGGGTCGACCCCAGAAGTTTGTCCAGAAGATGTCCGTTCAGTCTTGCTTGGGCGACAAGACGGGCCGTTCAACCTCTCTTGGTTTGTTTCGGCTTGAACAAGCCCACCCAATGCCACCCAGTTCGTAGAACACCGAACGAGCCGGGAAACACCGCCGGCCCGAGGCCTCGAAGCTGGCCGAGCCCTTCAAGAACCAAAAGGCCCCAAACCGCTCGGGGCCAACGAGCGAAGAGGGAGGACGAAGCGATGGCCACGTATTGGACGGGGAGGGGGGGGGGGGGGGGTCGTTTTGGGGTGAGGAAGAATTTGGGCACGGATTGGAACGGGTGAATATAGGCCTTCATAGATGCCAGGCACGGGACTGCACCTGGCCTGGTGTTGCGCAAAAAAGGGGGATCCTTGACTGTTTTCCGAACTGACTAAACTGTTGTTGTGTTTAACTTCCTGTACAGCAAGTCCAAGCTGGGCATGGAGAAGAGATGTTCGTTTACGGAAATGCCGGGCGACTCGAGCAGAGTCCGGGCGAAGTGGGAGAGGACGCCGCCTTTTTACTGTAGTTCCCGCAGATCAAAAGCAAGCAGGAGGGGCATGGAGTGGATAAGGAAGGGCGCATTGATTGCAATTGTTAGGTGCAAGTCACCAAAATGCATTGAGATCAAGAACCCTTTGCAGTGCATTTTATTATTTATTTTGCCCCCGGATCCTCATCACAGGGGCGCATGGCCATGCAGATGGCGAAAATCCCGCACAGCATGGGTGGGGACACTAAGCAGGTGGTTGGAAGATCCTCTCCAAGGGTTGTCCCTCAACTGCCCTGTTGGTACTGCTCAGCCTGTGGACTGGTGCTTGGCAAAACCTGGAGCCATGGTGGGTCACTTAAGGTCTCCTGGTGCCATGGTTTCGCACGAGCGAAGAGGTTTGGGAGGTTCGGCTCAGAAGGACCCGTCACAGATGCATCCAAATGCGAGCTCCTTCCCGGCTGTTCTATAGCAGAAGGAGAACATCACCAGCGATTTCAGGCAGAACACCTGGGGCGTTCTGGGCGTTCGGAAGCGGAAGCGGAGCCGTTGGAATCCCCTGAGGTCGAACACTGGTCGTTGGCAGATCGAAGGGAATGCGGTGCAAAGACCAAGGCGGTGACGTTCCCAGTCGATGCAGACGAGAAGTGAGCCCCTTTGGCTTTGGTGGGCACATGCTCTTCTGTGTCTTGCACTGCTTCTTATGGCGCCTCCAGCGAGATCCAGCGAGCTGCTTTTGAGGAGCCCCCGATTTGGAAGACGAAGACCGAGACTGTTGAGAGCTGGACTTGCGTTTCTGAGACTTGAGCCAGCCCTGAATGCGGCATTTCAACCCCAAGAAAGTTCCACCAGGGTTGGCTCTTCGCTCTTCCAGCCCTGACTGAGATCCCGACCATCCGAGGGATTCCATGTATGGCCAAGGTTTTCTAGTTCGACCTGTTTACCTAGCCAGGGGCCAGACTTCGGGGGTTTCTCCCGATGGTTAACATGCACACCGATATCCTCTGTTTGGGTTGACTTGGGAATTTGGGATCAGGAGGAATGCTCCTCCCCTCATCCTCTTCCCTTCAAGCACAGCAGAAAGAGTTGGACTTATTCGAAAGCTAAGGAAGGAATCCCCATCACTATATCCATGTAAAACCCATTTGACCTCCTTTTTGATAGGAAAAGGCCAAGTATATGTTGGATAGTTGATCCTCCAAAACAGGGGTCACTCAGGTTCTAGGCATGTCAGACCCGAACCGCAGCGGCCAAGCCTGGCCGACCTACTAGCAGCCAAACCCTACCCCAGACACTGGATGGTATAATTTACCTAAATTGGGGTGGTTTGAGGGGTGAAGGTATAGGCATATATCTGACAGACATGGAGTGTCAGGGTCGTGGCAGTGGCCTTGCCACCGCACCGCTCGCGCCGTACGACCTGCTGCGCTCGCGCTCGCGCTACGCCGCTCCAACCGCAGTTGGGGAAGCGCTACTACAACAATTGTCCGCAGGTCTGGATGCCTCAGTGCATCGCGACGCGAGGGCGGCGAGCGGTTTCGGGCGGGTTCCGGAGCGAGCCCGACCGGGAGCCCTTGGAGCCCTTGGAGCCCTGAGCCATTTTGGGGCGCGGTCAGTTTCGGGTTTCGGGGTACTTCCGGAGGAGTATACTATTGGGGTGGTGTGACCAGCACATCGCCGGTGGACCTGGGATTGTTTCACACCGTCGGATCGTTTCACCAACCAAACCCGTCGGATCGTTTCACACCCGGGGTCAACGAAGACGGGTGAACCGTGGGTTGGGAAGGCCGAAACGCAGGACGTTTTCGGCCCACTCGTGTCAAACGTTCCTGTATATGACGGTTAAGGCGTTTCAGGCACTTGTTGGATTGAGCCATGGCTGGAGAGCCAGAGCAAAAAATCCTTTTTGTGTGGCTTTCCCAGTTGCTTTCCTCCGCAATCAGGATCCCAGCAAACCAATAATCAGAAACAAAGCGATAATTTTGTCGCCATGGCCATTCCCGAGGCCGCGAAGGGGGTGTTGGCCTGCCTTTCAGGCTTTTCGGTGGCTGGGAATCTCAGTTCGGCCGTGGGACGCGGATTTGAACAAAAGTCACAGCCCAGACGCGACCCTGGACCCTCATATGGAGGGGTTTGGCATCTCAAATCCCTAGGTTTTGAGGGACCCAAGGGCTGTTTGGAGCGTCTGGGAGGCAGGGAGTTCTGGACAGGCAGCGAAGTTTTGGCGTGACGGGCAGGAAGCTCCTGAACAAAAATGAGTGCCTCGTCCGCTCGTCTTCAAGGAAGATACGGCTGGTGAGTAAGAAAAAACCTCCCCCACATATGTTCTAGTGAATCTATTTGGGTGTGTGTGTGTGTATCTTCTTCCATGGAGTCGTTGGGAGGTCTGGCTATCTTCATACACACTCATATATAGTGATCCGGCACCACAAAGAATGGATCTTTTTCGCGCGGATTGATGTTCAACACGCGTTGTCGTTGGGTCTCTACCGGGTTTCAAACAAATAATTGCCTCAGGCAGGGTTGCCCCCCCAAAAAAAGAACCCCAAACCCAACCTGAGAGGGAGGAAATGTGCCACACCGAATTACATAATATGTGTGAAGTTGTTTCATCGATTTAGTGTCTACAAATTGATATCCTAATGTTTGTACATAGGAAGGATCTGGTTGGTTTCGTTGTGACTCACAGTGATATTTCTAGGTCCGGTGTTTTTGGTGCATAAGCCATCCCCCAGCAGACGCAGATGGGCCGTCCGCTGGCTGGACATCCCATCGTCGGTCTTGAGCCAATTCCATTGACCTCCGTGAAATGACCATCTTTATGGCACTCGTTCGGTCAGTCCAAACGAGTGCCATCGAAACGTCACAAAGTACGTGAGCTGAGATAACTATAGAACCATCGAGTGCGACAATACGCAGCATTTGCAAAGAGCTTTCAGACAGAATGGAGTGGCATTTTGGATCTCAACTGAATAGCTGCCTTTCGGACCGCCAGCCCCCCTGGGATTTTACAGTCAGCATGAACCTGTTTTGAGTGTTTGATGTAATAAGAGTAAGGCATTCTGTAGCCAGCGTGGTTTGATGTTTGATATGGAAAGTGCCCAAAGATGATCAACTCAGATTGAGGTCGAACATTTACTCATGTGACTTCATGTGTACAACATCAGAAACAGCATGCCACAAACACACCCTTGTGTTCCTTGCGCGGCTTGATTTGACAGGGAGAATGGACTTTCTCAAGGTCATATTGTTCCAGATTGTTTCTCTACAAAAGTTTCAACATAGTCCATGTTATACGACCACAGAACGGGCACGTCGGAGGCCTATGGTCCTGTCGGTAACTTAAGATATGTATGTACACCGCCCCTGGAATACTCGATCGCAGCCAGGATTGCGCACATACTCACAATGACTATCAAAATGGTGAACATGTCATAACATGTTCTCTTAAGCTTCAATCTCTTTTAATGGGTACGTCCTGAAATATGTACATTTTCACTTTATTATTGTTATGTTTATTGTTTTCGCACATCCAAACAGAGAAAAAGACACGTCGTTATCACAGTCATGTGACACTCCATCTATGGAATGAAACCACCCCAATGTTCCATGAAGTGTTTGGGTATTCCAGTCCCCCACTTGGCCGTTTTTTACCGAAAAGAAAAACCCTAGGGCTCCTGGCGCATATCCTCAAGTTCGATGGTTAGCCCCCCGTGGCATCCACCCCAGTCCCACCTTCTTCGAAACGGAGGGGGCGGCCAGGAGGTTTGGGGAAATGACGATGCGTCGCTGCCTCGAGGCCAGCGTGACGAACGCCTGCTCCTCTGGAGTCCTCCTGCAGCTGGATGCGTGCGCGATCGAAACGACACGCGCGGTGACCGTGGTGTGGGCGTGAGCAACTGAGTGACCTATTGAACAGTGGTAGGTTCAAAGGAGTCATGGTAGATAGGTCCGGTAGGTGCCTCAGGGTGGGGGCGGGCAGTAGTAACTTTAGTTGTATTGATGTTATGAGTACGGCTGTTGAGAACCTAGTTGATCCTAGTTGATGATGAAAGACTAGTGGATCATGATGATGGATGATTGTCGGGTCACCAAAACGACATGTTGTTTTTCGAGGTGTCATGCAAAAACACACCTGGAGAACAACAAATGTACCCTCCCTGCAACGAACATGTAAGTGGACAACCCCTGTTTGTAGAGGACATCGGTCTTCCAGGGGTCTATTTTCCACTTCCATGATTGTTTCAGGGAGTGTATACAAAACCCCAACCTTAACCCCAAAACCCTCAAACCTTAGCCAAAGAGCCACCTAAGTGAGCAACCCCAACCATGTGAGGTATAGGTGAGCATGGCAACCATGTGAGCAACTGTCGTTTCAGGCTTCGTCTCGGCAGCTGTATTTGTTCATATAGTTTGTTCATTAAGAGTTTGATCGTCCCCAGCTTTGCCCGGCCAATTTGCCCTGCCCAGACGCTCATGCCTCCGTGAAAAGTAGGGGCCGTACCCTCCTCCTGGCCAGAGGTCACCAATCCCCATGGTTTTGAGGGACCGGGAAAGGCCCGTGAACGAAGCATTTGGGTGCCAGCTTTGTGGCTTTGCGAACGATCAACGATTTCTCAGATTGACCCGGACGACGGGGGGGAGGCTCCATGTGGGACGGCACCTGCACACACCGCGTTTCTTTTTTCAGGTGGCGTTTTTGTTGGACGTGTCATGACGTGTCCAGAAACACTGCATAAAACATATTTAGCAATGCTTTACCTACCTTGACCAGATAAATAGGTAGCTATGCCAGACATGTGCTTTCACAAAAAGAATCTCGACGGGGTGTTTTGGGAGCCAATGCCGAAGTGGACGGCGGGGTGCTGGGAGTGGTCGTACAAAAACACTGCTCAAAAATCAACTCACCCTGCTCCATGTCGATGTGTTCGCTGCATGGGTTTCTTTGTTTTATTTGATGAAAACACCCGGGAAGACAGAGACCGGAACCTCATGGCCTGGACCTTTCGAGGACGACGGAGCGTCCTCATGGCCTGGACCTTTCGAGGACGACGGAGCGTCCACCGGCAGTGGTGTTTCACCAGGTTCCATGTGGGTTTTTGTCCAGGGCATCCATGGAACGGTTCCAAGAGGCGGCAGTTATGGCTAAGCCCATAACCCACCCCATGTGGCCCATGTATAGTAAGGAACTGTTCCAGTCCACGTCTGGATGGTTTGGATGGTTTTCTCCGTTCGGCTGTAAGGAGTCTCGTCCAGAGCCTTCGACAGCACCAGGGTCCACCGGCCGTTGGGCCTGAAGAGCGTCACGGATGCGCTGTACGAAGCGTGCCAAGGTGCGCACGGTTCTGGGGGCACGGTTCCGTGGCACTTCCCGGTGAACTTGATTTGATGGCTGGGTTCCCCAACCTGGCGAAGAGTTTTCCATAGTTTTCCAGGTTCGATAGGACACCTAAGTTTTTGAACGCCGGCTGTGTGGGACCTTCGACAGGTCGATCTTGTCGGGGGGACCTGCAGATGTCAGCGTGGATGCACGTCGATGGTCGTGGCATGGTGGTGCATGGTCCACGATGGTCGTGCTTGTCTACTATTGTCTCCTCTCACAGTGGATCGACCTCACCTCTATGAAGTCCACCGCTCATGTTGTGTTCTTGTTTGAATTTGAGCGGTGTTCCCACCGGGATCGAAGATTTCACAGCGGAACTTCAGTTCGGTGGTGTAACGCCTGTTATAAGGCATGGGAACTTCAAAGGAAGTGGTGAGGTCGATCCAAAGGAAGTGGTGACAAGGTCCAGATGAAGATGTTGGCTGGCTGAATTCCAGAGTAAGGAGGAAGGTGAGGTGAAGAGCACCAGTGCTTCTTCAACATGGTTAATCAGCATTTTAAGACGTATCAGTGTTTTATTGCGTCTTAAGTCATGTGGATGCTTCACTGAAAAACTGATCGTTTTGACTCAGAGGAAGGAAGCGAGAGAAGGACGTGCGAAAGTTATTGAAAGTTTTACGATTTGGGCTTCCATGGGACTTCAGCTGGGACATGTAACTAATGAGTGTGTCTTGGAAGAGGAAACAAACTTGAAGCCTATGCGGTTTTGGTGATCTTCCTATTCTAGTTTCTAGTACAGACCTTCCTATTCTAGTTTCTAGTACAGACCTACATGTTCCAACTAATTCTAACTTTCACTTGGAGGAGGATGTCTTCCTTCAGCAGTAGGATATTCCACTCATGTTCTGATATTCTAGATACAGGATGTTTCTGTCAGTAACAGACAAGTTTTCTCTGGTCAACACCAGTTGGGGCTGGTTGACCAAGCGGGTCGATGTAGGTATGACTTCCATTCACGGAGTGTTTGGGATGGCGACTACGCCCCGGGCCCAGAGACCACCAAATCAACCCTAGTTGAATCACTGGGTGGTAGATGAGAATAGCCTGTCTGAGGGGTCCATGTTCATTGTCAATGTCTGTTCGGAGGGAGCCACGAACCCGGAGAACCATGGCTTCTGTAAGACATGCTGTCGTGCCATGTGCACACAACATGCTTACTATTGCTTACTCCTAGTCACGAACCCAAATATGAATTACATCCTCATGGAGACGTTACCAAGATTTCAGGTGGGAAACACATAACATCATATAACACATCTCACCAGCCGGAAACCTGCCGGGACTTCATTGTTCCGACATCTCTGCCCTTACGTCACAGTTTCACACCGTCGCACCCCGCAGATCCTGCTACCCTCAAGTTCCCCCCCTTCCTACCCAGGTTTCGTGGATCACCTGCAGGTCACCTTTTTGGGGGGATTGGTTCACCTTTTTTTCCACTGATTGGTAGAACAGATGGAAAAAGAGGTCAACCGTGTTTTCAAGGGAAACGGCTTGGGAGTCAGCCTTCTGATTTTCTCCCACGTCACACCACCACTTCGTGCCAGCCTTCGAGAGTGACGTGTGGGCACGGGGCCCGAGGAGGGTTTGGTCGGCTGGAGCGACCAGTGAGTCCTCCGGGTGAAACATGTCGGCCAGACCAGACGAATGGGAGAACAAGACGAAGGACAAGGAAGTGAACTAAAACAGTTCAAGCAAGACAAGAGAAAAAGACGCAGAAATAAGAGGACTGCCAGCATTTGCCAGCCACGACACTGCAGGCATTAAGTTATGATTGTTCGAGTGTCCAGTATAGGGGACTATAGAAATCGTTTCATTTGCAAGCCTATAATAGTGTTCCAGTGTTCGGAACCGAGTGTACCAGTGTGCAAGAACATGTTTCATCTTCACTGATAGTGTCAGCCAGCCGACAGGCTAGGCTAAAGTTGTTTCTGCGAACGAAGTGAGTGACTATAGGGGGTGTGGGGGAGAGCGCCAAAGAGCCCACTGTCATCATAGCGGTCAATGGTTGTTGGCAGAGGCTACTTTTAGGTGGTTAGTGATGCATAAGATGCAATCCCAAATTGGCGCCGCTATGCCGCTATACCTTTGCGGAGAACTAAGTGAGCAACCTACAGCTCGATGAATGTGACAACCGCATCTTGCGGGCCGCCCATTTCAATTTCTGCGGACGCGAGGTTGCCACGGAGCGTACCGGTTGGAGCGCGCGTGCTGAGCGCTTTGCGCAGGCTTTCATTCGTGGTGCAAAGCGCGACTCCAATTTTGGTGACATCTTGGAGGACTGGCTCAAAGTCCAATCCATGCTTGATGCAGCAGCTGTCCAGTTCCGCAGCGATCCTGGAAGCTTGGAGAAGTTCGAGGGCTTCATTGCTACGGGGTTCCTGCTCCTCCATGAGTGCGTTGCTGGCGGCCCTGCCCCACTGCTCCAGCTTTGACATGCAGCATTGGCAAAGCACTTGTTGGTGCCTACATCACGAAGGCCAAACAATCCCAAGACTCTCAGGATCTAAGAAATTATAGGGCATCAATGTTTCTACTGCTTACAGTCCAGACGGACCATAGAACGGAACATAGCGGGAGTGGCCGGACTGACCCTTGGGTCAGTTGCTTCAACAAAAATTACAGACCAGACAAATGGGACTGGAAGAGATTCATACATTTACCCGCCAGGAAAACGACCCATCCATGTATCACCCGGTATTGTTTAAAGTTATTTTTATGTTCCTTATGGGTATTTCCCTTCTGGGGAATGTTTTCTATGTTTCCAGGTTCCTTGAGCAAATCCAAGACGAGATTCATAAATTTACCCCATGAAAATGATACATCGGTGCATTACTGCAAGCACAAACACATCTGGTGGCACTGGCAAAATGATACATCCGTTCGGGAGATCATTCGGGTATAGTTTCACGGGGTCAATGTAAGTACTCTTGGGAGTGTTTGGGAAATATTGACCTGTCCAGTCCCATGGATGCTTTGGGCATAATATGACCTCTACTGTATACATGTTTTAGGGCTCGACACCCGCTCGCATGGGCGAAGAGGTCCGAAGTCTTCATGGGGGGCACGACCGTCAACGGTCTGCACATGCGTATCATCAGGGTCCCGCAATCCATGATCCTCTAATATTTAGGTCAATCTCTATATATATATATATACCCCAAATAGCCAAATAGATAGAACAGTTGATCCCCACTGAAAATGTGTTGGAGACCGTGCCACCATCTATTTTGGGACCACTATAGTAGCCATATGACCCACGAACCAGATTCTTGTTTCCCTTTGTCAAGGCCTACCGGCGGGATCCAGCCGTAGCTGATGAGTGGGAACGTTATTGCGTGCACCCGTCATGTGGGTCTTTTCCAGTGTATTTGGAGCTTGGGCTTGGGGTTCCTGGTTTTGCTTGTAAGATCTTGTAAGGTGATTGTTTATTTTCCGGAACTGGGTTATTTATTCCAGGTTCCGAAACAAGCAAATGCAAAGTTTGCGAGGGTTGCAGGAACTCCGGTCTTTTTGGAACGCACGGATTGGCATTCTCACGGAGGTTGGCAGGATGGGAGCACGGATGGTGGTTGGCAGCTTGGAGCAGACTAGGTTGCAGAGTTGTTGCTTAAAGTTTGGAAGCGAGAACATGAATGCAGGCGGAGTCAAAAACGGGATGGACGATCGAACAAACACATAAAAGCGTGGAAGAATTACACTGGTCGGTTCATTTGATGCTGTTTTTTGTTTTGGGTGGATGCCCCTTGTAGGGAATGAATTAATCATAGATCGGTGATATTTGATATTATGCTATTGCTTTCTTTTGGTTTCTTTTGGCACATCCAAGGGTGCTTCCGTCTTTCGGTGCTGAGCAAGAGTTTGAGTTTCGTGTCTCACGTCCCGGAGGATCGATGTTCAGTTCATCGGACGGAAGCCAATTGGTTTTTTTCCAGTGTTTGCTTCCAGAATTGGACCTTCCATCAGTGTTTGTTTGGAAGCGTGGCAAGACACGTTGTGTTCCTGGTCTTGCTTGAGATGATGTTTTATTTTGTTCTATGGGGTTAAATCCATTTAAAACCCCTTCTGGTGAATCTGTTTCCAGGTTTCTTAAGCAAATCCAAGTGTTTGGGTGATACTTTATTGCACACCGCATGGAACACATGCGGATGGCCCGCTGACCGCCAAACGCTGGATGACAAGCTAAGGGATACCCGCGGTCATGACCCAAACACGCATGGATGGGGATTTTGTTGTTCCAGTCGGGCTGTGAATGGAGCGTTTGGGCAGGCCCCGAAGGGTTCAAAGTCTGCAAGTAGCGATGCACCTTGCTACTACTAGCTTCTTGCTACTAGTAGCGACGGCCTCCAACCTAATATCGATGGCCTCCAACCTAATAGCAATGGCTTCCAACCTAGTAGCTTCTTGCTGAGAAACAGACCTTTCACGGTTCCCCAAAGGGTTCCGACAGAAACTCGTGGCTGCCCACCGGATCCAGTAAGTCGGGCTCCGCATCCAACCGGCACCGCGACGGGCCGAGGAAAAACGGTCCAACGGTCGGTCGGAGCGGAGTCCCCACGCGCCAGGTGGATTCCACGGTGGTGACCCAGTACAATAGCCGAGTCTACAGGAGCCGGAGAGGAAGAGGTCTGCGAATGTAAGGTTCGTGGCACTGGAATAGTTATATACTTGTGTTTAACGGTCCAAAATGGAGTAAGGGTATAGAACTTGTATAACTCGTCCAGTGCCAGAGAAAGAGAAAGATAATCTCCCACCAAAACTGGTAATTAATGTAGACTTCTGATCAATATGGTTTAACGGTTTACATATATGGGGCTTTATATGCCAACCGTATTGGACAATAGTACATCGGTGTGTATTGAATTAGGGAGACCTCCCAGTTCGACTCCAGGAAGAAGGAAACATAGATCAGTCTGGTTTTGCAGATTAGGTGATGTTTTATCTTCCCGAACTGGATGAATCCCCTAGCCTGGGGAATATTTTATACTTGTTCCTGGTTCCTGGACAGAAAATCCAAGACATACGCACCCACATGGTTGGATGATTCCGCCACACCGCTGGTCACAGTGGCCACCTCTGAAATGAATGAAGCCACTGCTCCTGCGACTGCTCCTGCGCTGTTCAACAACCTATCAAATGCCTACCAAACCCAGTGTCATGAAATTCTGTGAGCTTGCCTTCAGCCTTTTTTGGTATCCTCCTCTCCCTACCTATATACGATTGTATACCTCTCCTCGCCATCCAAGATGTGCACACCGGGCTCCGGCTGGTGTTATCGATGAGGTGCAGCCCCATTGTTCCAAACTAATATGTGGCAAGAATACTACTAATAACAATAAACTCGTAACAAAGGGCATCGCTACTAGAAACGAACTTAGCTTTGGCATCGCTACTAGTAACAGGAAGCTATACAAAGGGCATACAAAGGCATGTGATACCCTTGCAGGGGAACACACTGGTCATTGATGAACTATTTCTTGATGCCATCACAGCACCCGCCTCCCACAAGAAGGGGCAGCTACAAAACACTCATGGCCAAATGGCCGTCATCGAGAGATGTCCGGTAGTGCACGTATGTACATGATGTGGTACTTTGCCCAGACCCACTTTCAGGATTGCTGGGTCAGTTGCTGGGTCTTGAATGTATAGTATAAATTTATATATATATAAGAACCAGAGGGGAGACCGTGCATCGAGACGGTTTCGTCGCAGTCGTTGACCAGCAGATCCAAGTGGAAGAAAAACTGTGTCCATTGGTCACCATGGGTCGCCCTATTTCAATGCGGCAGAAGCCCCCAACAAAAATCCACAATGATCCACAACACAGAAAATCCATGGGACTGTAAGATAAACCGCCCCTGGCCTGATCAGCAAATATGTCAGTCCCAAACAGGTCGTGTTTGGGCAAGGATCCACCGAGAGGAACCCAGGTCCGTCTTCGACACCTGGCACCCGGGGGTCCTCCGTGTCACCGTGTCCTACACAGTCAGTGGATAGCCTGCAACACCTTTTTGGGGGGGATTGGTTTTCCCACTAGATATGAACAGATGGGAAAAGTCGGTGTCTCGGCTCACCAGCTACTTGCGTTTCGCTTGATCGTTTTCCCACTATAGAGGTAGAACAGATGGGAAAAAGTCTAAGCTGTTTGGTTCAGGTGTCACCTTCGAAGTCTACCAGGAGGGCCTTCTTTTTGGGGGCACCGACGGGCCGTCTCGACTCACCGATCGACCCGGGCGTGTCGCGACGGAGGGGGTGTGGGGACGACCCTTCAGGTGGGGTCTCCAGGTTGTTCTCAGAGAGGTGGAACGGGACCGTCGGACCCGTCACCTGGGGTAACCAACTGGGATAGTTGATAGAATTCTATAGAAACCCTAAACCCTAAACCTATAGTGTTCTTCAACCTCTGTTGGTTTGGCGTCCACTCCGTGAGGATCAAAGCTGTCCACTTCGACAAGTCGCCCCACGACGAGCCGCTTGGTGCCGCAGGTCAGGTGCAGCACTGGTGGAAAAAGCGGGCGTGTGAAGGGGGGAAAAAAGATATACAAATATAATCAACTATATATATATACCCTAGAAGTCCAAAGACTATATTTTGACCGGCTGAAGTAAAGGAAGTTCCCGAACTCAGGTCCCCTAAAGACCATTCTTTTTATAGTCTTTGACTCCCATATATATATATATATGGGTTTCAGAACCCAGACACGACCTGTTTTGGGACTGGCATGTTTGCTTTTTCTCAGGCCAGGGGTGGTTGAAAAGGGGTGAATGTATGCATATTCCATACATAGATATAGAGTGTTTGGGGTAGATGGCACCCCAAATGGGGATTTATATGCACTCCATCTGTCTAACAGTGCAATCTCCTCCACCAGGGCGCCAGTGGTTTATTTTCAGCCTAGACAAGACCGGTGGGACTGGTATTTTGATCGAACAGGGCAGGGGTATATGCGAGTTTGTACATATGACTCACATGGAATGTCTGGGGTGTTTTGTTGAACCAAACAAACATTGTTTTGCACTGATTTTGGACTACAACACCAGGTCAACCGGTCTTTCAATGGTCGAACGGAAGGCGATCCGGGTATCATAAAGGGCTGTTGGTCTAGGCGGTTGGGCCCATGGTGATCCAGATAGCTGGCACTCTTCAGCCTGATCGTCGATCGTTCTTTCTTGGTTTCTCCTGGGGTCGGGTTTGCAATCAACAATATGGCCAAGAGCTGCACTCTTCGTATCATTCTTCGGACATTCCTATTTGCCTCAAGCGAATCACCATAAAACAAGATCGTCAGCAAGACAACGGCAAGTTTTGTTGACCAGTCCTCGTTCGAGTCTTTTTCAGTGATGTTGTTTGAACATGAATGTCCTGGATCATGTTTTTTCAGAGTCGAATTCAGTCCTATCCTCCAACTCCAGACTGATAGTTCTGCCGAGTAAAAAATATTCACATCGGACGCCTGGAGGCTCCAGGGCCACGACCGGCCACTCCTTCCTCGCATGGCCTGGCCTGGCCAGTCAACCGGCGCTGAGGTTCTCGATGTTCGTGCGAGACCGCAAGGAGTACACCAAGATCTCCTTCCTGAAGTACTTTGAAGTTCCTGAACGATCACATTTATCCGCGGGATTGTGGGCTATCCTCCTCGGATCCCTTCCCTCTCGCGCTGGGCGGCTAATAGGCAATTCATCAATCCCCACAGGTGTTTCATTACGGCACTCCATGGGTGGTTGATTGCACAAGGGCAAATGTACCCCAGCCATCAGCCATTTGTTGGAACAATTGAATTGTTATAGTTGACCTGGACCTGGTGAGCAAAACTTTCATAATGATTTACTGATGGTTGCTTTTGATACATCATTAAATCAACGGTTGGTCCGGAAGCCTTATATAGGGTCAATATCAGCACTCCAAGCTTTTGTTTGGAGTACAAACCTAGGGCGGAACCCTTCGCTGGGTGACTTCCATGACCGTGTATCTTCTGACCGTTCCGTGTGTCAAAAGGTCGAGGACGCCACGAGTCCTCCGCGTCCTGCGCGTCGGATGCGGCACGGCGACCCCGCATGGGCGTTCGACGTTCGGGAGACGTCTCAGGTAGAAGCGACCCTTTGGACGGTGAAATAGAAGAGTCGACATGCATCTCTTGTGTTCGCCGGACCCAGACTACCTGGTTTGTAGTTTTTTGTTTGTTTTTTTTGCAAAACCATCAGAGTGGACTGCTAAGTGGTTAACAGAAGTCTACCGGTTTGAGTGTCTCCTGATTGAAAAAAAAACTGCCACATACCCCATGAGTCAATGCTGAGCAGTCGCAGCAAAGTTCTCATCACCCAAGATGCCGAAGGGAAGCTTCAAGCTTCTTAGGGGACATAGACAAAATAAAGGCCATACACATACCGGGCAATTGCGGGCACAAGCTAAGCTGCTTCGCTTGCTGACACATTTGTTGCCATGGTCTCCCAAACGATCCTAAATGTATTGCCAAATACTCGACAACTCACACCATGTGTCCCTCAATCTGACATGGGAAAAGGATGGAAAAGGAGAAAATGTTTACTCCAGACCCCACAGACACTCCAACTCATCCCTGAAATCAACCACCCCAATGAACATGTAGTCTAGCTTGATTACTACACCCCCCCCATGTATTTGGATTGAAGAAGCGCTTCATGTGGAGGTTGGCACAAATCTAAGACTGTCTACATCCCAAAAAGACCCTCCAGTTCCCAGTTCCTGTCCCCCAATACAGCTCGTCAGCTCCGCTGAACCGAGTCGCACCTGCCTCCCACCGCGAGTTCCACGGTCCACCGCTGTCCACCCGTCCGTCCACGGTCGGGTTCGTGCCACCGAGGCCTTCTACCAGATTGGCCCGGCACATCCGACGCAGCCCTTGCTGGAAGCCTACCCCGAAAAGGCCCGATGCGTCTAGCGGAGCGGAGAGTGGATGAGATGCGCAGCGCAGAGAGTGGATGAGATGCGATGGGCGACCAGAGATGGGGAAGAAGAGATCAGCGACATGTGGGCTTTTTGGGGGGGGGTCGCGTCCCATGGGTGAAACGCGCAGTGAGGCGAGTTTGGTGGGGCAGCTCTGATCGAGTTTGGCTCACACCCTGGAACCCCATGGAGTGGAGAGAGAGAGAGAGAGATCTCGAAAAATGAAGGTAGAGAAAGTGAACCCAGACATCCCTGCCCTCGTTGACATGGTGTATTATAGTGAAACATGACACGAGGGGCATAGTGGCATAGTATCTGGGTGATTCTTGGTGTCCGGAGTCTCTTCTGGTAGGGAAGGCAACAGATAGTTCCACGAAGGACCTAGACCTCGAGCCCATCGATTTAGTATTCGATGGGATCGATGACTGGTTTGGTGCTGCGATCTCTTCTCGTACCTTCCTTCCGAGGGCGAAGAACACCCAAAGCAGACCACACCGAAGCGAACTGTGTGAACTGGGGGACACCCAAACCTGGGAAGAGATATGTGAATACAAAGCCCACATAAAAGCCCATACTTGATTGGCAGAAATATGTTTTTTATATATGTGTTTTTCATAGGGAGACACCCAAATCTCAGCTTGGCAGGCTTCACGTACCCAGACACTCTATGTAAAATTATATGAAGAGGTTAGGGGTGCCCATTATCCACTCACTTGGAGACTAAACACCACCCCTTTGTGACTCCTGGTGAGTGTGCGTTGTGATAGTGACACCCAAACCAATGGGTAGACTCGGTAGACTCGGTAGACTTCCCGAACCTTCCAACGGGGGTTGGAACGCCGGACGGAGGTCTGTGTTCATACGCCCATATACTGTATGTTTCTCCTGATCCCTGTAGTGTTATGACTGCTGCCCATACTACAGACACGTGGTTTGTGGTCCTTTTTGTTTTGTCTATTTTATGCATTTATTCAAATTCAATCTTTGTGGACACAATTACTGTATAAACACATATTTGCAGCCTGAGAAGAAAAATGGTTACCCAAGATCGCTGTGCAAGATCCTCAACGGTCGGTTTTGGGAACCAACTGCTCTTGGCATTTTCAGCCAGGGGTTTGGGACTGCATTGCACCATGGGCCCAACAATGCTGGTCCAAAGCTGCATCCGCATGGTGAACCGGAACCCGGCACCACTCTGCAAACGCTCTGCCAGTGCATCAACTGGCCAGGTCTGGTGGACCATGTGATGCACCATGCATTCTGTCTCATTTACATTCATTTACAATGACCTATTCGGTGAAACATGGCCTGATGTAGTCCTGCAGCTTGAGATAGAAGAACAGATCCCTACAAATCCAGGTGATTGGAGGCACCGCTATGTAGGTTTGGAGGGTCCAAGTACCTTCTGAGAAGGTACTTGGATCCCTAGGGAAGAACAGATGCATCTGCTATCGCTCCGTCACTGCCGGTCGTGGCATCGCCGGTCACTGTGAATTCGGCCCAGACACGATTGCAGGGCCAAGAGAGGTTTTTCAGCCCGTCTTGTTGCCCATCCCATATGTACCACAGACCAGGGTCCTAGTTCTGGTCTCTCAACCTCTCTTGGCAGATTTACCCTGAAAACACTGCGTGATACTGATCGCCAGATCTGGTGTGTTGGTTCGATGTGTTTCGCGACCAGGCGAAATTCGCCAGGTTGGTGCTTGAATTTCTACTCGCTACGGCGCAACCGCTGCCCTGCCAACACCTCGCCACCTGGTCTTGGCTTCTTCACGCTTGTAGAAGCCTTTATATCCCTCCTGCCCTTCAACACCTCGCTTTCGATGGCAACACCGCGGCCGAAGACCCGAATTCCGTGGGCACCGGTGTTCGGAACACCGGTGGGAACCAGCGAAGGTGGGGGAGACGGTCTACCTCTTGCCGGAGTTGTGTGTGCCCACAGGCCGACCGCGGGATGCGCTTCGACCGCCGACCTGGACGGGGTGTCAAGAGCGCAGGAGCAATGGGACTGGACATATCATTTCTGGGAGGTCCAAGAATATGCCAACAAGAAGGGCTTAAAATGGGGACCTGATGTCGAGAACTTCATTCACTTCAGTTGGTCGAAATATCGTGGCCTAGGGGTTCTTACATTGATCCCCTTTTCAACCACCCCAACTGACCCGATGCCACTCCCACGACGTAGGTAGTTTTCCGGGGCGTTGAGCGGAAACGAAGGGCCAGGGCCCCGCAAGAGTCCGACGATCTCCAACATGCGCGCAGCACCTGTCTGGGTGGCTTGTTTGGAGGCCTGGTTACTTATTAGGGTAGGGCAGTTTAGTGGACACCCAGACCCAGACAGGATGATCCTGGTGGGGTGGGGTGATTGAATATATATGGACGACCATGGCAACAAATGTGTGAAAGCGAAGAAGCTTAGCTTAGCTTGTGCCCATGTGCATGCCTGGAAGTGTACGTCTAGTCTATATCCCCCTTGACTAGAAGCCTGAAGATTCAATCCGGCAGGTGATAACAAATTTGTTCCAATTTGACTCATGGCGTACGTGATGGCACGTGGTCAAGTTGATCTGGACTTCTGGGATGAGCCCGAGAATGAACCCAAAATCTTCGAGTTTTCGCGGAGTTCGCGAAGGAGATACCCATCTTTTACATATCCCAGACGCGACTAATGGGACTGCCATATTTGCCCAATTAACATTGGGGTGGTGGTGCCGGCCCTTTCTGGGGCGGCAGTCCTGCAGTCCCATCGGTCGCGTCGTCTGTCAAACAGGTCGACGGGTCGTCTGACCGGTCGATGGGTCGTGACTGTCACGCCGGACGCCTCGGCCCTTCGGACCAGATCGCTCCGCCAGAGACGTGGCTGGCTGACCGCCCACTGGGCGGGTCATTCACGGTGGGGTCTACGGTGGGGTCACCACCATGCAGAATTGGCTGGGTTCATGACTCACTTGATAGGAATTGGTTTCATTTCATACCGTCTATGTGCTTGCTTGAGAGCGGTTTCTGCAAGACTGTGTTGGAAGAATGATGAAGAATGTGTAAAGGTACCACCCACCCGAACTGCAAATGGTACTGCTCTCTCCTTCTGACGGTCTCAGAGCAGTTCCTGCTCTTCCTGAGCACGCTTCTTCGACTGACACGACGGAAGGTGTTTCGCGGAAAACAATAAAACAATGGTACTACCAGCGCCTTCCAACAGGTCACCACCTGCTGCTTTGAAGTCTCCATTTCAGCTGCTTCAGCCACCATTTCAGAGACCTGTTTATGGTCGGGTGCTGGTAGAACTTGCAGGTGATCCAGTTGTCCTGTCGTAGGTTGCTTGACTGAGACGAACAGCTTTTTCGGGGTGTGGAATCAGGCTTTCTGAGACGCAACGGTGTGACGTTCGAAAGCCAAAGCAGCCAGGTGTGACGGACGAGATGCGCAAGGACCAGGGATCGGGTTTGCCGCCTTGGCCTTGTAATCAATGAAAATTACGTGAATCATTCCTACCAGGAGATAAATTCAGAGATGGTTTTTGAAGCCTGTTCTGGGTGGACCATAGACAGACCTTCTCTCCAAGAACAGGATTTGTGGGTACCTGCATTCACACTTCAAAGATTGGAAGGCAACGACTTTTTCAGGGCTGGTGTTGGCCTTTCTACAGAAGATGCGGAATGTCATGGCCACAAAATGATGCAGTTGAGCGCAACATAAGGATCGTCTTCTTCCACAAGGGTAAATTACTCTACTTCGAGTGATCCCCACCATTACATTTCAATCATTTGTCTTCATGCCATTGTGAGGAGCATGTTGCCATGGTCGTGAGTTTTGTGGTTCTCAACTTTGTTTGTGGGTTCTCGGGTTGTGTGCTGTGATTGTGGTTGTGTGTTGTGGTTGTGTGCTGTGGTTGTGTTGTGGTTGTGTATTGTGCTTGTGTGGTTGTGGTTGTGACTGTACTTGTGTGTTTGTGGTTGTGTGCTTTGATTGTGTGTGTGTTGTGGTTGTGTGTTTGTGCTTGTGATATTTTGTGACTGTATGTTTGTGATTGTGTTTGTGGCTGTCTTTCTGGTCGTGTTTGTGACGGCGTTTTGTGGTGTTTGAGGTCTGGCGTGGAACACTGCCGAGCGGAGCTGTGGTGTTTGAGGTCCGGCGGGGAACGCTGCCATCCCGCACTTGCGGTTGAGGTGCGGAGGAGGACGAGACGGAGGAGCAGAAGGAGGACGGCAGCTGACATATGATCTAACAACCCTCACCTGACAGGTGGAGACAAGAACCTCATAAGAACGATGAACGGCAAACCTTGGAAGAACTACTGGAAGCCGTCCAAAACACACCAGGACATTGAGGAAGAAAACGACCAGCTAAGACTAGCAGCTAAGAGCTGAACAAGTTCCTGCGCAGTGTGCTTGCCAGTCTACGTAAGTGTAAGCACTTGACATCTGAGTTCCCTACCGGCAGCAGAACCAAAGAGGCAGAAACACACGCATCCGAAGCCATAACTGACAGGCACCATCCGGCGACGCCCTTGGGGGGACTGCGCGTACCCGCACGGTCTTAGCACAGCAAAATCGTCGACGATTAGCACAGCTTCTTACGCCTGCGCATACACACTTCCACGCAGGTGTGCGCATGAGGGCCTAAGCCGAGTAACTTCAGCTTCAAGCACACGTACAAACATGCACACCTGCGCACGCTCGCAGGCTTCACCTGGTGTGGCACATCTTCCAGAATGCGCAATGCCACAGCCTTGGCAGACCCAGCCCCAGCCCCAGCCACCCACTATATATACCACCAAGACAAAAACCCACACCACAGACAACTGGCACTGGCCACAAGGGAGGGCCTGCCCAAAACAGACGGGAAGCGAGACTGATGGCACAAGCCCGAGAACGGGCCCGGCTTGCGGAGAAGATGAAGACATGGCAAGGGGCATTTTCCGGCCTCGCCATGGGGAGCATGAAGGGCGATGTGGTGCATTCCACCGGCATACCCAATGAGGGGTGGTTGGAGGCATTGTGCCCGGCCCAAGATATTTTTTAGCAGCTTGTTTGCAAAGGCGCTCTAGGCTGGGTCCCGGCGTGGTTCTTAAAGAAGGCGGATGCAAGATCGATCTGTGAGGTGGGCCCGATTGGTGACGGCGAGAAGCTCCGTCGGCAGATCCGCGTCATGGCATGCTTGCTGGACTATGATTCGGGCTTCTTATTGCAGAAGCCGGTGCCGGAGTGGGCGGCGGGAATGGCTGCTACGATTCCTCACGAGATCTGCAAGCTGACTCCTATAAGGAAGCAGCTCTTGCAGGCTTGCATGGGACGGTGGAGCGCTTCCACACAACATGGTTTGACAATCCAGGAGTTCAAGAGGGTATAAACTTTGCTTCAAGCCCAGTTGTGGTGAATAGTGATACCCTGAGTGATACCCTGCGATAGGCGAAACACTGATTCGCGGATGTGTGATCTAGTTTCATTTTGTCCTGCTCACTCTCAGGATTGTGATCTCAGCGACATCAAGGACACTACATGGGGTGCACCACTGATCCTTCCCTTGCAAAGAGAACTTCATTCAAAACATTGCGACACCACACATCCTCGTTTTTTGGACACTTTCTTCCAGCGATTCTGATTTAGGTCGCAAAATGATGACAAACCCCTATGGCTGGGCGGATCCTTCAACTACAAGGAGCTGACGAATAGATCTTCCAAAGCGCAAACAAGCACTTGGCATGGGGATACAGCAACCGTACGGCATGGCATGGGAGGTGCGTCGCCGGGGACACAGCAGCCGTACGGCAGAGATTGAGGCTCCCCAGAAAGATGGCCTGCGGCACGGTGGCTTGCAGCAGTTTGTTGTTATGTTTGTCATTGTTCTTGTTCTTGTTCTTGTTCTTCTTCTTCTTCTTCTTCTTCTTCTTCTTCTTATTCTTTTTTTTCTTCTTCTTCTTCTTCTTCTTCTCGCCTCTGTGATTGACCGCAAGCTGTAGTTTTAGTGGGCACGATGCGCTCCACACCCAAGGTGATCCCAGGCGCAGCCCTGACTAGGTTATGGCTAGGACAGGGTCGGCGAGTACGCTGACAGGATACTTAAAGTAAAGATCTTAAAGGCTTACGCCTGTGTTTGAAAAATTGTTCGTATGTGTCCGGCTCTGTTCCAAGCAGTAAAGACCGCCATGCCCTCCAACTGCTTAGAGTTCAGCCCTCACTGTTCTGGTGACTGGGTTCAAGGTTGTGCAAAATGCACGGCACCTTTGGACGCGCGCGGTACCCTGTACCATGCGGCATGCCTGGCTTTAATTCTGCTCCGACTTAATCCAAAGCGCCAGACTGGGTCGGGATGCGCAGACAGGACCAAAGCCTGGGGCAACGCTCTTCCCGAGAAAAATATCTTGACCGTCCCAGAAGAGAGAAATTTCGACTAGTGTCATTGAAGCGGCATTTTTTTTGCAAGTGTTTAACGTCAATGTGACGGCTGAGTACCACCGCTCACCCGAGTCCCTCAACAGGAACACGCCGGCCCCACTTCGCTCACGCTCACGTTCATCGGCCTAGACCGGGGTCAGCGGATAGTATAAATAATAACTGTTTATATTATAAATATACGATGTATATATATCTATATATGTTTATAATACATATATGTATATCCCGCTTTACCGCGCATTTACCGTTCCTCTCCTTCTCTGTTCAGACCTGGACTTGGAAAACGACATAAAGCGACACTTCTCTCACGAGGCATGGGGCCACCGCCCGTGGCTCTACACTGAGGGGTCGAAGGTAAAGAATCTGTTTCTCGACACATTGAGATTGCCCAGACCATCCATGTGACTGGAGGCGTTTTATTGCGCTACATTCTATAGGGTCACATGTGGGGTACATGCAACTGTTGCACACATGGCATGGATGGTTAGCGTTGGTTCGATATGTTTGCCAGCCTCGCCCAGTTTCGGAAAGTCGAAGGACCTTATTATATAGGATTTCCTAGAGGGAACCGTCCCGCAGGAGAAGAACGTCATGACGGAGGCCATGAAGAACATGAAGGCCTCGCCCCAGGCGCGCGCGGAGAGGTTTCCTCCAGGGGCATGCCAGTTCGATGCTTCGATCATGGCACGGTAGGCGCGGTGGGTTTTTGGTGGGTTTGGAGGCCATAAGAATTGGCGATTGTGGTGGATTTGTTTGTTAAATTTGGCGAATCTTGGCAAGGATATGCAAAAAGATCCAGACTCCACGCAGCCAGCCAAAAGTTTGAAGATCAGTTTCCGGGAGGACTAGGGGCTAAGTGAGGATGACCTGAAAGAGAACGTCCTGTTTGTTACAGTCCTTTGTTGTTTGGTAGCATGATTAGATCATGTTTAAATGCATTGTAGGGTTATATGAATTGCCAATCTGCAACTATTGTTTGCTGTCAATCATTCATAGATCCGTTGACCGACGTGTTCGTTGGACTTGTTGGCCGTCCAACGTCGCTCGGCTTTCACTTGGTGTCTTGGGCGATCAGCAGATCACCCACGCCGAACGGAATCCGTCCGCAGCGAAGACAAGACGAAGACGCCGAAGCGGATGGGCTGAGAGAACTGGAATCCCAAAGTCATGGGGTTCAAACATTGGCACCATCTTAAGCACAAGAGCTTCGCTGGGACAAGGTCCACTCTCATTAAGCAAGACAGTTCACCCGCACACAGTCGCCCAAACACCTTCCCACAACCTCTGTGGCTCCAGGCTCCAGAATGAGTTGGACTCAAGGTGCACATAGCCCGTGAATGGGTAATCAATTTGTATATGACCTCTTTACCTATCTTGGGGTAGTTGAAAAAAAGTGCTCTTTCTGGGGCGGAAAAAAACCTTCAGTTCTACCCAGTTCCGCGTCGTTCGGAACCCACCCACAACTCCAACCGAGCCAAAACACAACTCGCCGACCATCGGTCAACCTGTTGCGGTTGACCAGACCCTCCATGAGACAAGAAGAGGTAGAGCTACTACATCTACCCCTGCCCTCGGTCCCGGGTGCGAACCGGTCCTCTGAACCGAAGAAGTAGGACTAGAATAGGTTCTTAGATAGGGTGACTGGATGGCCTGGTTTTGCTTAAGTTTAGTTGTGATTTATGCATTGATTTATGCAGTTTATTATAACCCTATCTAATATGGGCAAATCCCCGAAAACGAGGGAAAAGGTCTTGTCCAGATTCCTGGGACAACAACTCCGGCACATGATGGCCATTTCGGGCGTGAAACGTCCTGTCGCTTCACCGTTTGACTCGCGCGTCGAGCCGACCGGGTCGGTCGATCCGCACCGCGTCGGCAGGACCGGCTGGCAGCGATCAAGGCGCATGCGACTGCCCGGTGCCCCAGGGTGTGGCGGCGAAGTGTACGGTTTCAGAAGGAACTGGAACGAAGGATCCGGGGACGGTGCCAAGGCATTCCAATTCTCAGACACGACTAGTGGGACTGCCATAGGACCGCCGATCAGTTGGGGTGGTTTTGGGGGTCAATGTAGGCATATATGGCATACACGGAGTGCCTGGGATTGGTAGATGACATCAGATGACCACAAGGTTCAAGAAATCACCACCGTGCTCTCTCATTGTCAGCTGTCCTTTCGCCAAATTCACGATTCGCTTGGAATTGAGGAGGCTTAGCTCGGTTCGGTTTCATCAGGCACTAGGTGTCTCAATCCAGACCTGACATTACTGAAAAGAAACGACTTGTCCTGAAAAAGACTAATTACGGTGCAAAATGATTCATGACATTGCAATGTAATTTGGTTTTCAGCTTGTTTTATGGTGTTTTTTTCCGAAAAGGGACCCTTAAATCACTTGATCAACCATTTTGGGCCATCCTCACCTCAACACCAGTCTCGCCGCGGTTTTGAGGAGATGCGGCAAGATGCGCGGCCCACGAATCCGACCAAGGTGACCGGCAGGGGGGGCGACCCCCAGGAAGTACTGTACCTGTTTGTAGAGCCTTTTGGTTGGACTTGGGGGCATTGGGGGCCTTTCACAGGAACAGGCTGAAGTTCGTTCGGTTGATCTTATTTTTTTGCAGGGACAAAATGGGCTCGGGAGTCCGGGGTGACCGGGTGAGGCTATATGAATACGGTCGGGGGGCGTGCCATGAGAGAGGTGGGTGAGCGGGCCCCGCCACAGTGAGGGGGCAAACGGATTTGAAAAAGATGAGAAAACGAGATCGGAAGGATGGGTGACATGTGCAGCACCTGTCCTCGGATTTCATAGGCACGAGGTTCCACCTGTCACGAGGTTCCGCCGCTGACCGGAATCCCCGGGTCGGTCACCCCACGGACCGCCACGGACCACCCCTGGCCTGATCGGCCGGATGTGCTCAAAGAGCGACGCGACCCAGAGGGGTCGGACCCGAATCCTTTGGAAGGACCCTCCGACAGGTCACCAATTGAGACCTGTTAGGGTCCAACAACCCCCTCAACTAGCAGCCTGTTGGAGGGTCCTGGTGGAAGGATCTGGGGTTTCTCACCAATCCCCTACGTTTACTTCAGGAGTCTGAATGGTCAAAACAGGGGACCCGAATTTTTGGACATGTCACCGTACCCAGGGATCCAGCTACCACTAGTTCGCTGGTAACCAGTGGTTCCAAAGACTAAAACCATAGACTTAATTCCTTATATAGGTAACTGGGATCCACCGGATCACTATAAGGAAAAGTATAAGGTGACGAGAGAAAGCCCCAGTTGCGAAGGTGTGAGTGTGAGTTGGGCCGTTGGGCAAAGATTTTGTGTCATCGTCGGCAACATCATGCAGTCGAACTGAACTTCTAGGGACTCTATATCACCCCAAGCCTTTCTGATTCCCACGTCCAGGTTCGACCATGTTCAGCCCGGTGAAAAGCCACCCAAGAAGAACAATCAGCTTCGACATGGACTTCGAAATGTGCCATCGAATCCTTGAAAGAGAACTCCGGCTTTTTTGGTTAATACGTTGTGTGACCATTGGCCGCAACGGCCGTTGTTCTCCGTTTGTTTGATCCTACCCAGGTTTCGTACGTGGAGTACCTGCAGCTAGCTCACCTCCTTTTTTAAGTACCTGCAGCTAGCCCACGTTTCACAAAGAACAGGTGGAGTTCGTTCGATTAAACGGTAAAAAGAAACGGCTCGGGATGCAGAGCCAGCCAGCGTGACGGGCTTATTCAGACGGAATCGGGATCAGAGTCATTTGGAACCCTTTCAGCTACTACACTGGCCAGGTGAAAATCCTTGGAGGGTAGCTGAAGGGGTGCAAACAATGCTGGCAGATATTGATCAAGGACCGCAGATAGACGTTTGCGAATCCACTGGATTCATGGCAAACCATCTATCCATTCCTGGCTCCACGTCCTTCGTCGGGATCGACTAGCCTACAAACCGAGATCAAAACATTTTCAGTCCAGCCAAAAGCATCAACACCCGCCACTAAGACCCAAACGTATAGCAATCAACCCAGAAACACACTACGAAGTTCCAGTTACTTTGCGCATCGCCCAACTCACCGATCCGTCCGAAGTCCTTCGTTGTGCACCAGCCTTGGAAGTGCAATGTGGAAGCAGAGCCGGTGGAGGTGCAAGTGAGACTGTTTGGGGCGACGACGGCACTTACCAGCTCACACCATCGTCACACCCAAAACATCCGCACACCAGTGAGGGGAGTAAGGGGCTGGGCTTGTTGGCTGGTTGGCTCAAAATAGCTTGAGTCATTACCCACTTGGGTTTGTCACTCCTGGACTTCGAGTCTACCCCACGACCAAGTGGACATCCTCTTGTTGATTGGGGAAACCTCACCAAGTTTCACAGAAGTTCACAGCAGTGATGCAACGAGTTCCATCACGGTTTAGGAACTTCGCTACCGCAAGCCGCACCTGCAGTAGCAGGCTTTACTATCAGGTATACCTACAGGATCCAAAAACCTGGTTTGGGTTGGTGAGAACCTGGGTAAACATTTCGCAGGCTTGACCCCAGTCCAGTTCGACTGTACATGGCCCAAGTAAAGGCATTTTGTTCCGAGCCTCGGGTCATCTCAAGGCTGTTTCAAGATCTTGGACGTCAAAAGAAGATCAAATTCACTTTCAGTCATCTGGAGTCCAAGGAGACTCTTCCGTGACTCAACTCTTCTTGGACTTCAGTGCTGCGCTGATGCGTCACTGAAAGCATCAAAGGACTGCAGTCTCAGACCGGCGGACTTCGGTCTCTCTCCCTGATGGTCTCCAGATGTTCCACCGGCAGCTCGCTGTGGAGAACCACAGGGACCACCCACGTCGATTCGCATCACCAGATATTCCAGACATTCCGGGCGTGTGAGACCCCAAACAGTGCGTGTGAGGTTCGGGTGTAGCAGCAGAAAGTCTAGAGATCTAGACGCATTGATGCCCTGACGGTGGTGGTCTTAAGGCACCAGCTATCATTCCATCTACGGCAATAAGTCCTTAACATTAGTTACTTTCAACATACAAGATCAACTCTTCCAGTCTGCTTTTGCATCTGGATCGATCTACTTTTACCATCTATTTAAGCTCCAAACCCGAGAACCGTCACATCACGTCACTCCTTCCAGTCTCTGATTCTTCTCACTCCACACCAGCCCTGCATTCGGAACCCCCCCAACCACCGCCACGCCCCCGGGGTCGGTCTGTCCAGGTGAGGGCACGAGTCCTGGACCCACTCCAGGCAGAGAAAGCGGCGCGCGCGGAGCGCGCCACCCTCGAACTTGGGAGAATGTGTCTTGCAAGCTGAATGATAGAGGTCATTTGCAAGCCAGTCTTGTTCCAGTGGAGTTGTTCAACAGTTCTGAACAAGTATGACCCCATCTAACAAGATGGAGTTGCCCCTGATCAGCTGCGGCTCCTGAAGTGCAGCTGGTTCTTCCTAAGGCCCCCTTTGTGAGTTTGCGTTTTTTCTTTGGACAGATGGACTGCCGATCCTTGTAGCATATGATGAATATAGCTAGTATAGTATACCGTATTTTCCTAGGCGCGTCAACTCTACCTCAAACAAGTTTGGTTTGCTCATCTTTCAGGGACCTCGAAAGCCATCCTAGACCTGCACGGGTCCAAACAAAATCAGCTTTTGGCCCCATGTGGACCACCACACTTGTATATTACATATGCTGCAGTTATATTAAAGGCACTGTAAACATATAAGGAATAACCACAAATGCTTAATTCAAAGAAAAAACTATATAGGGAAATCCAGAGGACCTTTGTTGAAATTAGACTTGTCACACTGTCACACTTGTCGCCACCGATCTCCTTTACCCATGTTCTCTGTTTCACCCCTCACAAGTCTGTTGCACTCCAGTCCAGGTGGTGTTCCAGGAAAAGAAGGTCTACCCCGTGGAGGCGCAGCAAGAACTTACGGAGCGAGCGCAACGGAGCGAGTTCACGGAGAACGGAGCACGACCCTTCAGTCGTGTGGCGAAGCACAGAGATCGGACGACTGAAGTGTGTGGGGACTCAAATATCTTTGGTGCATTAGCAGCGTTCGGACGCTACTAGGGGCTCCTGGCCTTACTACTAGGAGCAAGGTTCGCTACCAGGGGCAAAGGGCATCGCTACGAACGGAGCAAGGGCAATGGTGGCCCATGTATTTGTTGGAGGCACTCCTTTCTCGCCGTGGCTGGGTAGACTGAGTAGGATGCTCCAAACCGGAACGCTGCGGGGATCGGAACGCCGGACGGAGGTCTCCCCATGTTCATACGACCACAAACACAGACCCACGTGTTGCCATCAAGAGAAAAGGTCCGCTGCACATTGGCGGTGAGAAGCTCTAGTTCTGCATTCACTTCCACACATGCTTCTTCCAACAGCACCCCTGCGCATTGCTTCTGGGTTCCTTTTGCTCACAAGTGCTAAGAAAAAAGTGTTTCAAACACGACGGTACTGCTGCTCCCAATGACATTCGATGTTGCTTTACTGAATCGAACAACGAAACACCATGACATCCGACCGCTTTTCCAACTCAGGCCCGGCCAGTCATCTTTACGTCGACCAGTCGAAACTCCTTCTCTTTGGGGGATCCAAAAGGTCAACGCCGTCGAAGGCCTCCTTCGCTAGCTCCTGTTTCTTTGCTGAAGAGGGAAGTGTGAGGACCTGCACCCTGATCCTGTTCGCTCGTAATCGATCCACGATCCTGTCCGGGACTGGAGTATTAACCAATATCAGGGAAGGGTTGATGAGTCACACATCAGGGGTCACACAGAGTCACACATCGACACGTCGATATGATCTTCCAATCCCAGTATTCGGCTCGTGCCTTGGTGTTCTTTTTGGCAGTGTCTTATACTATACCTAGAAGCTGATTGACCCCTGTTTGGGAGCCCAAACATGGTCAAACTTCCTATCAAAACAGAGGTCATGTCTGGGTTCTAGGCATATAGTATATAGTGTGTTTCTTCTGGAGGTCCAGTTCCACGATGTTTTGAAAGATTTTGACCGACCGCCGGGAAAGGTGGCAGGAAGTTCCGCCCGAGTTAGACCATTCTTTTTAGAGCCGACTGGACTCCCAGGGTGTTCTGTTCCTTTTATATAGTCTTTGACTTCTTTGGAATATCGTTTTTGATGTTGGAATTTGTCTTATGCCAGGGTGTTTTGTTCCTTCTTTTCTCAAATTGCTTGGACTTCACCATTCAGTCTCCATCCGCGCCCGGGGCCCTTCCCCCGCACCCCAGCTCCAGCTGACCCGCACAGCGGCGACACAGCGACCCGCCGCGGCTCAAAAGGGGGAGGTTCCGCGGCCGACGGCGCCTCCGACGGTGACGAGCCTTTGGACCGACCGACCGTGAGCCGACCTTGGACCACCAACCACCCACCAGGTCATCCTGGAGCTCGTCTACCCGACTGCCCGACTACCGGGTAGTCTACCCGACTAGCGTAAACAGGTCTCCTACTCCAGGGCACCCAGACAGGAAGTGCTAATATAGGTATATTTTTTTTGTTCCTGTCAAAACAGAGGTCACGACCAGGCTCTATAGGTAAATACACGCTGAGAGACGGGGGGCGGATGGTCATGAGACGAGCAGCACGAGGTCTGCGGAAGTTCCATCCACCGTTCGAGCGTCACGTCACACAGATGGCAACACACGCTGCAACCGAAGCCGAGAGGGTGACGGAGCTGACGATAGGTGTGAAGGAAGGGAATCTGGAAGATGTTCTGCTCAACGTGAGGGGTTCCAAGGAGATGTTTTCAAGAGTCTTGAGAAGCTTTAGTGACCAAAGTCAATGGGAGCTAGCCTATATGACTTTGCAAGCTGCGCGGCATGATGAGCAAATTGAGCTGGAGCCGTCCCATTACGCAGTTGGCATTTCAGCCTGTGCTAAGTCCCAAACTGCACAGCGAGCACTGGTGTTGTTTAAGGCAATGCCGAAGGTAAAGATTCAGCCAGACAACACTTGCTATGCTGCAGCCATCAGTGCTTGTGCTAAAGGTGAAAAATGGCAGCAAGGATTGACCTTGTTCAAAGCCATGCCGAAGGCAAGGCTACAGCCAGATTTTAAGAACTACTCTGCTGTCATCAGTGCCTGTGAGAAGGGTGGGCGATGGCAGGAAGGGTTGATTTTCTTTGAGGAAGCGCTGAAGGCAAGAGTGCTGCCACATGTGAGCGGGTACAGTGCTGCCATCAGCCTTTGTGAGAGTAGTGGCAATTGGCAGCAAGCACTGACATTGTTTGAAGCCATGCCCAAGGCCAAAGTTCAGCCAAATGTCATCACCTACAATGCTGTCATCAGTGCCTGTGAGAAGGGCGGGCAATGGCAGAAAGCATTGGTCTTTTTTGAGGGCATGCCCAGGGCAATAGTTCAGCCCAACGTAATAAGCTACAATTCCATCATTAGTGCCTGTGAGAAGGGCAGTCAATGGCAGCAAGGATTCCACATGTTCACGCTGATGTCCAAGCGGAGAGTTCATCCAACAACCATCAGCTACGGTGCCGCAGTTAGTGCTTGTGAGAAGGGCCAGCAATGGCAACTAGCCTTGACATTGTTTCATGCCATACCACCACTGAGACTTCAGCCAAACCTCGCCTTGTACAACGCCTTGCTGGACTGCCGAGCACTCCGGACGAGTGGAATCGGCAGGCAGATCGTTCATGAACTTTGCACGTTGCGACAGTTTAGAGCTACCTTTATCGACCTCCACGATCTTACAGAAGCTTTGGATTGCTCGATGATGTTGAAAATCTTTCTGAATGTAGATGACAAATATGTACTTTGAACATGATAGACATGTTCCTATGGTTCCTATGTCTATATGTCTATATGATTCCTTGCTACGCTCCTCAGGCAGTCTTTTCCTTGTAGGGTCCAGGTGGGATGTCATTTCTTGCGGGGATTATCTAGAATGTAGTGACCTGAAAGAATACATTTTCAGCGATTGCCTTATATGCAGATGCGGAATCCATTCGACGCCAGACATGAAACGGACACGGGAACGTCGCCAAATACTGAAGATTTGTTCAACCAAGTGTGGAAACGATGTCTTTGGCCACCACTATATATCTTCGACACTCCATGATTCCATGTATGTTCAAACATTTAACCATGGGGTGGTGAATTTTAAGGGTTTTCATGTAGTTTGCCATTTTTTACCGGGTCGTGTCTGAGTCTACTCTTCTCCCGTGGTTCTCAGGAAGTGACGGCTCAGCTCCTCCTGGGTCATTGGCTCTCCCACCTCGTCTCGACGCTGGCGACGGAGACCACCGGCGAGGGCGAGTGCGTGATCGTGACGGGCCGCGGCCGGTGCCGAAAGCCGTGGAGCGGATCGGATCTGCAAGGAGCCGCGTTGAGCCTTGGGCGAGGTGAGGTGGAGAGGTGAGGAGAGGAGTGTGGTTGGGAGGAGGGTTGGTTGGTTTAGGGTTGGGAAAACAATGTGGTGAGCTGTTCACGGAAGGGTGGAAGTGGGGGGTTGACATGTTGAGAACTGCGGTTTTTCTGTTGGAGGAGGAGAACTCTTAGAGAGGCCACTGTCACTACTGTCACCAAAAAAGCTGGTCTCCATATGTAGGTGTTCCTTAGTTCCTTGATCCTGACGCTTCACGGCACAAAAAAACCTGCAGCGTGGGATTTGATCGTGTCGGATGGATGTAGAAAGGGTGAACACACCCTGAGAGTTTGACAATTCTAATTCAATTCTTATTGTTACAATTGTTACAATTAGAACAGCTCCTAGTAGGCACACCCTGAGAGTTTACAATTGTTACAATTCTAAATACTACGTTCGTAAGGCACGTGCTCCGTTCGTAGCGATGCACTTGTTACTACGTTCGTAAGGCACGTAGCTTACGTTCGTAGCGATGCACGTAGCTTCCGTTCGTAGCTTCCTACCCCCCCCTGAGAGTTGGATTCTCTTCGGTGCTTTGTCTTCTTTTTCTCAAGCGCCGGCGCCTAAGAGTAGCTCACGTCCCAGAGGAAAGACAATGTCCATAGGTGGGTGCCAAGGGGATTGGTATTTCAATTTGCAGACTATTCACCACGACCTTCCAAGAGGTGTCTATAAATAGCCTCTTAGAGGTGATTCGGGCTGTCCAAAAAACCACCAAAAACGTGGAAGCTCAGACGTCCTTCGTTGACTTGATATGTCCTTCTTCGACGTCGAACATCGATTGTTTTTTGTATTTTACCCTAAGAATCCTTGGGCTGTCCATGGCAGGGGTCGGACCCTCCATGGCAGGGGTCCGGGGCCTCAAAACCCTATCTATTTGAGGGCCCGGATTCTTAGGGTAATGACAGTGATGACACGTGACCTGTTTTTTTCGACAGCACGCCGCTTGACGTGTTTAAAACCTTCCTCAGCGTCATCTAAGGAGGTTTTTGCTGGGCCTCCAACTCAACGTGTCTGTGATGCCGGAGAACCCCGGTCGTCTTCTTCTGACGTTAACCCCGAAAGACCTGCCAGTGCTAGAGGCAGCTGAGGAAGCAGCTTTCGACCTCTGAGATGCTGGTTTGGCGGCTTCCTCGTGGTTGGCGGCTTCCACGTGGAATCATTGATCCATGCGTCGTCAATTCTCTTTCGAAGCGTGAAGACTGTATTCGGGTCACCTAAGGACCTCAGGCTTCTAAAGCACCTTCTATCGACGTCTTCAACGGGTCACCGACCATTGGTATTTATCAATCCATATTAGCTTCGTGGCTGCAGAGGTTCCTTGGCCCGTCATCAACACATTCGGTCCCAGCCAAACCACCTGGGCTCTGTTTCAGAGCTCATTTGGATCAGAGGAACTCAAGCCATATATACAACCCCAAATGTATTGAATCAGCTGTCAAGGACGTCAACACATGTCAACGCCCAAATGGTCCGCGAAAGGCAGCTCCATGATGGAAGGTCCACCTTTGCTGGAGGTCTCGATTCACCGATTTTCAGAAGTCAGATCTGAACTTTGGCCCGGCCGAGTCGCAAGCCGAGCAGCTTGTGCCGAGTCGCAAACCGAGCTGGTGGTCTTGGCTTTTTTGATGTAAAGTATGCACAGATACGCTCCATGGGACTGCAATGGAGGGATCGCGGGTGGATCGCAGGCAGCCACTTTTCTGGGGAACTAAAGGCCTTGCCTCGAACCACTAGTCAGGTGAACGAACTCGTGGGTTGCCTGCCTGGATATTCTGGGTACATTGAGGCCTGAAATGTAGATTGGTAGTAAGAAGAAGCTACTAGGGGCTCCTGACCTTACTACTAGGAACAAGAAGCTACTAGGAACAGTCCCATGGATTCGTTGGCAAAAGGCTTTCTGCCACCCACCCCGCCGCCGGCAGACTTCGCCGGTGCCGAAGGAAGAGGCAAAAAGGGGCGGTGCCAAAGTCGGTCTTGCAAGAGCTGAGATGAGACACAAGCCTAGACACTCCATGCCTGGCATAGTGCACATATATTTACCTACTGGACGGTGATTAGTTTGCAGAGGATTGTAGAGGTGTGTGTTTGTGTACGCGCGTGTGGTGTGTGTGGTTTTGAGCAGAGGCAAAGCTGTGTTGTTTGCGGGAGACGCTTTTTCAGAAGTCTGAGTCCAACAAACAAGTTTTACGCAGAGACCTCCAGGCTTCTGATGAACAAGTTTTCCAGCAAAATGGCCTTTCTTTGTTTCTGATAGCGATGGCCTCCAATCTAATAGCAAACTAATAGCAAAGTAGATGACATTAGACCGTTCTTCCCCTTTCTCTTCTGTTCTTTTTTAACAAAACAAACAACGTTCTTCCTCCAATCCTGCAATCCGAACACCACCTCCAGTCTCGCAAGATCGTCCAGAGTCTTCGAAACGGGGGGGGGACAGGTTTTTGGGGGCGCTACAGAATCCAAACACCCAAACACAGGTACAGGAACAGGTACAAGACCTGTTTGGGTTCTGAGTCTGATTCTGGAACAAGGACCTGTGCTCGGGCGCTACAGAATCTCGGGCGCTTGATCCAAACCTTTTTCGTTGGGCGTCGCCATTGTCCCTAGTAGTCCAAGCACCATTGATGGATCTGGCCTTTTCCGAAGAACAATTTGCTCTACTATAAGGATCTGTTACTACATGTCAAATGCAAGGATCTCTCCTATAGTCGAACGGAACGCTAAGGTTAAACTGTGAATAGCTAGTAATGACCACTAGTTAAAAGAAAGGTTGACTTGGTTTTGCCGTCGAAAGTCCTCAGTAAAGACACTGGTTGTTTGGCAAGATGGTGCTTGGAATTCACTAGTCTTCCCCGCCACCTCCGGTGCCATCTCCATGGTCTGCAGCCCGGTCTGCAGCCCGATTCCACGAGCTCTCGTGGTGGAACCCAGCAGCAAGTGGTCCGAAGAATGATCCCAAACTCTCCATGCGAAATGGAGGCAACCCAGCAGCGGCACCCAGTCCATGTCGGTAGTCCATGAGTTCACCGGGTTTTTTGTGCTGGAACTGGAACTAGACTGGTACCTTTGGATACATCCTTGGTGGCATTTGGTGGCAAAATGTCCTACCTGTAGGGTGAAGCTGGGTGAGTTCCTCTCGTGTTCGACAGGATGGAAACTTCACCAAGCTCCTGCGAAACGGCTTGCAGCCACCCAGCTCGCAGTGGAGGGGTTCAGCCCGGTATTTGAGGATATGGAGGTCCATGTGGGGCATTGCTAGGAGCGAACAAGGACACTACGAACGGGGCTCCTGGCCATCGCTACGAACCGTTCGCGATCGGACGCGAACCACGAACGGAGCAGCATTTCGGGCATCGCTGCTAGACTGGAAGGTTCTGGAACTGGACGACGGGCTTCGGCGAAGAAACCCGCTTCTCTAAACCGGGGCATGACCGGCGATTCTTATGGGGATGAGCCCAGTGAGCAAGTGAACCAAAAAGATCCAAAAAGTTTATTGGGGGGTATAGCCCAACACCAGTGGTCAAGCAGCAGGCGACAGGTAGATCAAAACGGGACCTGAAACTGATGTTTTCACTCTTCAGTCTACAAAGGGTGCCTTTTTCGTTGGAAATGGTTCGATCAGACACAGGTTCACCTTGGCTGGCTTCTTTCTGGGGACGGACAGAACAGTTTGCGACCAGAAGCAAAGGGCGGCAGATGTCCAAGCTTCGACTCATTGGAAATCTAGCTCAAAAACCGATTGGACATGATTCCACGACGGACTCTGGCAAAAGCAAGACGAAACACCAGGAAATAGTCACATGAACATCTCGATTCATCGTGCTCGGGGTGATTTGGTTGAGCCGTGGCCCGTCGGAGGGAATTCCTGAAAGACCCGTGCTGCCGCCGGCGTCGGACGACTGGCGCCGGACGAGGGAACGGTGCCCGTTTCGTCAGACACCGCGAGGGAACGGTATTTTTCGGCATCACCTGCCTTGCAGTATGGCAACTCAATGTGGTACCACTCGGAGGGGACGAAGCAGAACAAAGTCGATCTCGCCCAAAAAGTTGTCCTCAGCGAGATTGGCCCATTGGCTGGAATTCTGACCTCTTCGCTCACTTCATCGACTTCTTGGAACGGGAATTTCTGGGCGAGGACGACCGTGGGCGACGACCGGTCCTCGTTTCGTCACATGAGAACGTTGACGACGTCACAGAGAAGCGAGCGAGCGAGCTCAGCACAGCTGTGCGCATGTGTGTGTTGAAGGAGGCGGAAGGAGAACTTGCCAGGCATCTGCAGATTCAAGATGTCCAGGACACGTTGTAAGCGTTGGTTTTGCACCGCTTCGTCGGAAGGGGCACGCTTAGCGTTTGTGAATGTTTGTGAGCATCCTCCAATGTCGCGGCTCCGCTGAAGCTTCAGCGGAGACCTCCTGCTGTCGGACCTGCTTTCTGAAATGTGCTCCATGTTTGCTCTCAGTCTGGTGGAGAGGAGAGTCGGACAGTTGGATCGGTCGTCCAGAGCTTCACCCTCCTGGAGTTCGCAACGAAGAACTTCACGTGTTTTTTGGGGGGCCGGGCCATGAAGGTGTGAACCGCTCCCAAGCATCGCCCGGTCTGTGGGACCCAAAGAGTCCGCGCTCCCCAGGTGTGCCGTGAAGCTGGACGACTGGTGCCTTGGGCGAATGGGCGGTGGAATGGTCAAGGCTGGGCATGAGATGGTCAAGGCATCCCTGACATCCCTGACATCACATCCCTTCAAGACAGGCATGTCAGGGATGCCAACCATTGTTGAGCCAAGAGTTTAACCCCTGACATCCCTTCCTCAAGAGGGTCAGTCCCGAACATCCCTCGACCACGAGCAGGGTTTGGAATGTTCTGGACGAGCTGAGCGAAGCGACTCTCCCTGGTTTGGGTGGGTGGGTGGGTGGGCTGCACCCCCCATCTTCACGGCGATCTGTCTCGCGGACGCCCGTCGATGCTGAGGAGCCTCATGTACCCCAGCTCGGACGAGAGCGTCCTGGATATTTGGTTGCGATCGCTCAAGGACATAGTTGGGGTGGCCCAGGAATGCCACCTTTTCGTCCGTCGACTGGTGGGTGTTGGCATGTTTGACAGCATTTTTCGGGGTACACTGCCCCAGCCCTGAAGAGCCCCATGTAAGTTAGTGAGGGATTTGATTTAATCATAAAATTACATGTTACTGTTAAACCCTTAGCACGGGCTCTAAGAACGAGCACTTCTTTGAATACATTTTATGTGTTTTGTTTGTTGATTTAGGGTGTGTTTGCTAACAAAATGAGGATTGATCAATTCTCGTTCAGGCGGGTGAGTTTGAAGCGATTATGTGAAACTGTTGTTCCAACCTGTGCCAAACCCAAACAATGTATCGACAAATCCAAACCCCTTGCCAAGGAACAATGGATATACTATTGACTGGCCCCCTCGCGTGGCAACACGTGACTGGATCCCTGAGAGCAAAAGGGAACACATACGTGCTTATTATATAGATCCAAAGATCTAAACAGAAAGTATGTTTGGAAGGTGGCCATGAAAAAGCAGGACCAGTTGGGTACCAAAGCGATAAGGAAAAACAATAACACTTACAGTATTCACAAAAGACGGTACGTAAACAAGGTCCTATATATACATTCTACAAAGCCATGCTTATTGAGGAAAATGAGGTTGTAGCCTATTGAAACTGAACATCTCTTGGGGCCCTATTTTCAAAGGTGCACAATCTGTCTAGCCAATCCTAAAGACATCTAAAGACCTTTTTTGGCCAAAGGGACGTGGGAATTGAGCCGGCTGACTGAGTCATGTGGGTGGTTTTACATACATTTAAGGGTCAAAGCACAGGGCGCGTGAGAGGTTGCGATGATCTCTTCAAGCGGTTGGAGACTAGGCCCAAGTACATACAAACAACACAGCCCCATGAATCATGTTTGGGTATGGCAATTGTTGCTGCAACATGCTGTTTCACCCAGCACTTTGAGAATACTGGACGCTCTCCTCAGAGGCAAACACCTGCAACAGGTATTTCACAGTACCCCTCAGATTGGGATCCATCCTTTTCTGGGTTCCCCAACTACCAAATACGGTGGTTTCAGAGTAGATGGCACAAACCCGAAGATGTTTTTTAGATGGGGATCCACTACTAAACCACCGACATGGGGGATTGTGGCATCTATTCTGAAACCACCAAATATGCTGCTCACAACAATCACATCCTTTCCGGTTCTTCAGCTGGGTGGGATGGGTTTTCTGAGCGCAGAGAGCGCCCCAAAGAACACCCTGCCGGCGAAGCAATCACATCCGAGCCGGTGCTTCAGGTGGTGTCAGCGCTTTTTCTACCTTGATTCATCATGTGGTTGAGCCATGTCAAGTCACAACCCGCCAATAGCTAAGAGCTAAACACTAGACGACGGTTGGCCCGAGAGCGAGAAAGGTGATTGTCAAGCAATTCCGAGTAAGGAAACAGTTAAAATCGAGTTGTCCAAGAGCCATGACTTCTTTACACAATCTGTTATTGAGTAAGAAGTTGCGAAGAAATTAGATTTATAATAATTAGGAGAAAAGATAAGGAGAAAGAGAGAAAGAGAGGGCGGATGTGCAGGTGTGATATAGATGTGCAGATGCGTGGTTTTGTGGAGGTCGAGAGGTAGATCTGCGGATGTGAGCGTGTGAAGATGTAAATGTACAGAGGTGAGGGTGTGTAGACGTAGATGCGCAGATGCAACGGCAGCGCAACGTTGTGGGTCAGGAGCGCCAACCTTGGTGCATTTCTCGCTGTGCAAGCACAACGCACTTTCCACCAAGGCCGCGCAAATCCGCATGGCACTGCGACA